TTCGCTACGTGGGTTCAAGGTGCCACCGTTCGACGGTACCTCTTCCTGGTCAGCCTACAAAATCCAGTTCGAGGCTGTTATGAAGGCGAACGGCTGGAATAAAAGTCAGGCCATGACTGCTCTCACACTAGGCGCGACCAGGCCTTAACAGTTCTGGAAGCTCTCAGTGAGGAAGTGACTTATGAGCAACTCCTTGGGGCATTGGAGGCGAGATATGTCGACGCTCACCTGGAACACGTCTTTCGTGCGCAGCTTAAAGATCGTGTACAGCGCATCAACGAAAACCTGCAGCAGTGGGCTCTAGAAGTGGAGAAGCTGGTGCGAAAAGCACACCGGTCTGTACCAGCGCTCATTGAAGGGAACCTGGTGCAGACATTTCAGACAAGTCAGAGCTGCTGTGAGGCTCGGGCACCACGAGACGCTTAAGGACGCCTTGGCCCATGCACTGGAGGTGGAAGCCGTGCGGCAGGATCATCGTTCCCATCGCGTCAGGGAGGTTGCAGCAGCTACAGTTCGCGACCGCAACAAAGGATACAGCCCTAGGTGCTATGGCTGTGGGGAAAAGGGCCATCTTCGATCCAGCTGCCCTAAGCGAACCGCAGAAAGGGAAGGTGAACGATATCAGGAGGGTAGTGCGGCCAACAGCACCGCCCAGCAGCAGCAGGGAAACGAGTAAAAGCCAGAACTGCGGGGCGGGTGCTGGCTGATGTTAAAAGAGCCCCAAGGATCTCGATCTCACAAACCCACGATGGGAACAGTCTAATCATCAAGGGCGAGGTCAACGGAATGCCGTGTAAACTGACCATAGACACTGGAGCCTCTCGTACGGTTGTTAGTTCCCAACTAATAAGTCAGTTCCTTGGGGACTCCGCATACAACCGAGAACGCATTAATTTGGTAACAGCCACCGGTCAGCGTATACCCGTCCGTGGAGAGAAGGAGATGGAGTTGAAGCTAGGCAACGTGATCTACCTGCATAATGTCGTCGTGGCTGATATAATGGACGACTGCATCCTAGGCCTAGACTTTATGAGGAATAATTGTTGTGAGATCGACGTTAAGCAAGATGTTTTGAAATGTGGACAGGAGTAACTTTTTATGGAAGGTGCGTTACCAGGGAACGTGTACAGCATTAAGAAGATTGTTCTTCCGCCGAGATCGGAAACGATTGTTCCGGTTAGTCTTCCCCGAAACGCTGGGCAAGGTCACCGTTGTGTACTTGTGGAAAGGGTAAACAATGACCTTCCATGGAAAGTAGCTCGAACCTTGGTCAGAACCACTGACATCTCAAGAGTACGTGTGCTGAACCTTTATGACCGGGAACAGATTATAGAAAAAGGCACACTGGTTGGTACTTGCGAGGAAGTGGATTGGTTACGTCGGTGCCAATATATATCGAGTGGGACCCCCAGCGAGGATTCAGAAACGAGAGTGACCACATTTTTGGAAGACTGTCGCAGTGTTCTCTCCCCGAACGAATTGGTCAAGGCGAAGAAGTTGTTACTCAAGTACACCGATGTATTCTCGTCAAACGATGCTGACATAGGAAAGACTGGCTTAGTTCAACACAAAATAAACACAGGAGAGGAATTGCCTATCCGTCAGCGGCCAAGAAGATTGCCGGTAGCACGTGGAAAGGAAGTGGAAACCATGATTGAGGGAATGGTGAAGGATGGTGTTATTGAACCTTCATCTAGTCCATGGTGTTCACCCGTGGTGCTGGTAAAGGAGAAGGATGGCAGCATGCGGTTCTGCGTTGATTACCGCCGTCTAAACGACGTTACAAAGAAGGACAGCTATCCCTTGCCAAGAATTGATGACACGCTGGACATGCTTATAGGAGTAAAATGGTTTAGCACGCTGGATCTAAAAAGTGGCTACTGGCAAGTAGAAATTGACCCTAAGGACAAGGAGAAAACTGCGTTCTCGACGGGAAAGGGTCTGTGGCAATTTAAAGTAATGCCGTTTGCAATGCGTGGGTTGTGCAATGCTCCAGCAACGTTTGAAAGGCTGATGGAACTTGTACTTACCGGGCTAATTGGCGATGCGTGTCTGGTCTACTTGGATGACATCATCATCGTAGGCCGTACGTTTGAGGAACACCTTCAAAACCTGGAACGCGTGCTCATGAAGATTCAGAGTGCCAACCTCAAGTTGAGCCCGAAGAAATGTTCACTATTCCAACGGCAAGTTAACTTTTTGGGGTTTGTAGTATCGGAAGAAGGTATCCGCACAGATCCGGAGAAAATCGCCGCTGTCAAGGATTGGCCGGTTCCAAAAGACAAGACGCAGGTTAGAGCATTTTTGGGTTTGTGCTCCTATTACCGGCGATTTGTGAAGAACTTTGCAGATATAGCCAAACCTCTGCACAAGCTAACCGAGGAGAAGCGACATTTCTGCTGGGATGAAAGTTGCAATATCGCATTCCAGGAGCTCAAGGACCGTCTGTGCAAAACACCTATTTTGGGATACCCTGATGCAAGCAAAGAATTTATAGTTGACACAGACGCAAGTGATATAGGACTTGGCGGTGTGTTGTCTCAACGGAATGGTGACCAAGCGGTCGTGATAGCGTACTTCAGCAAGTCGTTGTCAAAACCGGAAAGGAACTATTGTGTCACAAGACGCGAATTGCTCGCTGTGGTAAAGTCGTTGCAGCATTTTAGCAAATATCTTCTGGGACGAAAATTTCACTTACGAACTGACCATGCTGCACTAAAATGGCTATTGCAGTTTAAAAATCCAGAAGGACAAGTTGCGAGGTGGATTGAACTACTGCAGGAATACGACTTTGAGATCGAACATCGCAGCGGAAAATCTCACGGCAACGCAGATGCATTGTCAAGAAGACCTTGTCCTGAAGATTGCAACCATTGTACTAGGCAAGAGAGTAAGGTAGAGGTATCCGTGAGGATGCTCAGGACGGACCACCTCAGCAACGAATGGAAGGACAGCTTACAACATGCACAGCAGGAAGATCCGGACATCAAGCCGATTCTGGAATGGATAAAGGCCAGTGCTCCCAAGCCTAAGTGGAGCGACGTCTCAGCAATGAGTTCGACCACTAAAAGCTATTGGGCCCAGTGGGACAGCTTGCTGCTTCAGGATGGAGTTCTGTGCCGTAAATGGGAAAATGTTAGGGGAGACAGCTGTCATTTGCAAATGGTTGTCCCTAAAGCTAAAGTACCGGATGTTCTACAGCTGTACCATAATGATTGTTCCGGAGGCCATCTGGGAGTTAAACGAAGTCTACTGAAGATCCGAGAACGATTTTATTGGGTCCTCTGTCGAAACGATGTCGAGGACTGGTGTCGCAAATGTACAAATTGTGCGGCTGTAAAGGGACCTCAGACTCGTAGTAGAGGTGCATTGAAGTTGTACAATGTTGGTGCACCATGGGAGAGAATAGCCATTGACGTGGCGGGGCCGTTTCCGGAGAGTGAAAGCGGTAACAAGTATTTCATGGTTGTGATGGATTACTTCACAAAGTGGCCAGAAGTTTTCGCCATTCCAAATCAAGAAGCTTCAACAGTTGCAGATAAACTAGTTCATGAAGTCTTCTGTCGTTTTGGAGTACCTTTAGAGATTCACAGCGATCAAGGAAGGAATTTTGAGTCTCAAATATTCCAGGAAACTTGCAGAGTTATGGGTACTCATAAAACAAGAACGACTTCTTATCACCCGCAATCCGATGGAATGGTGGAACGATTTAATCAGACATTGGAGAGGTACCTAGCAAAAGTTGTAGACAATCGGCAACGAGATTGGGACAAGCACATACAACCGTTTTTGTTGTCATATCGAAGTTCTGTTCACGAAAGTACAGCAGTGACACCAGCTTTCGCAAACTTTGGAAGAGAATTACGGCTGCCGGCAGACCTGATCACCGGGATACCACCTGATGCCCCACGCAGTATAACCGATTATGCAAATGACTTACGGAACACAAAATGAATGACATTTATGAGCACGTCAGACAATCGGGCCAGCAAATGTCTGAGAAAATGAAAACCCGGTACGACCGCAAAATGAACAATAAAGGGTTCAACGAAGGTTCATTAGTGTGGTTGCACAATCCGTCCGCAGCAAAGGGAAATCTCCTAAGCTTCAAGCTAAATGGGACGGCCCGTACCGGATTGTAACCAGGATCAACGATGTGACCTACCGGATACAGAAAGGCGCAAGAGGGACTCCTAAGATCGTCCATGTGGATCGCTTGGCGCGTTATTATGGGACCGATAATGCTCGGGACGAGCATGTCTTAGGAGGGGGCAGTGTTGCGTGAATAAGTCAACGTCATACACTAGCGCCATCTAGTGTCAGGAACGAGAGCGAGGGGAGCTTTGCAGAAAATGACATCACAAATCTTTCAACCGACAGCGCCATCTAGTCTCAAACCGAAGAACTAAGTTTCTAGAATATCTACACTCGAACACTCGTCGCTTTGCGCGCATTTACTTGAATATTCCGGATGCTTCATTGCTAATTTGTATATATAGGCGCTGCAAGATGCGATCGGGGCAGTATTGGATTTGGCGAGACAAGCGAAGCTTCGGAGCGGAATAAAGTGAATTAGTGTGTTTAATTATTAGTGTTTTAAGTTTTAATTTGTGTAAAGTAAATTTAGTTAATTTAGGTAATTTTATCGGAAATTTTTATTGTCACGAACCTCAAGCTCGTAACAATAGGTTGAAATTTATGTGAATTTGAGTTATTAATAATATTTTTGTTATAATATATAGATGATGTTTTTTTTATTAATAACTTACCTTGGTTTGCGTAATACATTTGTTGGAGTATCAAATTTTTATTTAATAACAAATGTTAAATATGTTTTAATTGTTCCATTTAGTATTTTCTACTAACTTCAGTTAAATATTTGATACACTTATTTAAATATCAAACATTAACAATTACAAAAATCATTTCTCATATGTAATCAAAGTGGTTAATAATATAGAAGCTTAATTAGTAAAACTGTTGAATTTTTATCATTACAGGTGATAAAATAGCATCATCAGAAGCTACAATACTAGAATTGACAACAAAATATGAAGAAACAGCTAAAAAGTTACTTGTTGCTGATGAAACAGTTGCAGAACTTGAAAAGCAAGTAGGAACATTAAGTGCAGAATTGAGTAAAGCAAATGATAAAATTGTTCGATTGGAAAATGAAATTATTTCTCTTAAAAGTGCAAGAGATGCTGCTGTTGATGAAAGGAATGACCTGACTCGTATTTTAGAACGTCGTAATGCCGAAATAGAGAGGTTAATTGCAAATGAAGCATCTCTGTCACAGCAACTCCGCGCCGCTATTGATTCAAAGTGTGAAGCCTTAGCTTTAAATGATGAAATTCAAAGCAGAGAGTTATCCCTGCAATACCGAGAGAAACGTATAGAACAAGAAAGAACATTGTTGAACTCGCAGATATCTAGTTTGACTGATGAAGTTAACAGACTTACTTCTGAATTACAGACACAAAGATTAAACAGCACAAGTCGATTAATAAATGTAGAAACACAACTCTCTGAAAAATTGGAAGAACTTAATGCTGCAAATGAAACAATTGCACAGTTAAATGAAACTAAAAAAAACCTTAATAATCGTGCTGAAAATCTCACACAAAGATTGATGGAACAGAGAGAAATAGAAAATAAAATGTCCGAAAATTATAAAAAAGAACTTGATGCTAAAACCAAACTTGCTGATCTATTTAAGACTATGCATGATGATGCTGAGGCGAAAACAATGGAGCTAACTGATGGAATAACTGAACTACAGAAACTCTTAAACGAAGCTACTGAGAAATATGGTGAATTAGAGACGAAGTATAAACAAGCAGAATTAGATCATGAAGAGTTAATGGAAAAAAAGAATGAGGTAATAACATCTTTGAAAAATGAATTAGAACACGCTAATGATTTGCTTAAAGCAGCAGCATCACAAAATATAGATATGGCACTTAGTGATCTAGCACCATCAGCAGCAACAGCAAGTAAGTTACTAAAATCTGGAATGTCACTGACCCAAATCTACTCGCAGTTGGTTAAAGTAACTGAAGAATTAAGTCAAGAAAAAGAAGAAAATAGACGACTCAACATAACAATTAATACTATTGTACAAGAATTAGAAGAAAAAGCACCTCTCTTACAAAAACAAAAGGCTGATTATGAAGAAACTCTAGAAAGCAATGCAGCGTTAACACAACAAATTGATTCCTTGGTAATAGAATGTAATAGACTTAGAGATGACTATAGTGAGTCTTCTAAAATTGCCAATCATTATAGTAGAGAAAATGCTAAATTGAAAGGAGAATTAGCTGACCTAGGAAGACAGGTTTGCTTTTTACTGAAAGAAATAGAACTTAGCCGAGGTGGTTTGTTGAATGGTGACCATGATGAATCTCTTAACACGTCTAGTACATCAGATCATAATTCGTCACGTATTATATCGAAAACACTTGTAACCTTCAGTGATATTCAAGAACTACAGTCTAATAACCAAAAGCTTCTAAGAATGGTTCGTGAATTGACTGATAAACAAGAGGAACTTGAGAGACACAAAGAACAATTTGAAAGCGGGGAAATGCAGAATAAAATCGAGTCCTTAAAACATCGCCTATCAGAACTAACTGAAGCACAAGAAAGGCAAACTAAAATGGTAAATGGTCTAATCAGGCAGCGTGATATGTTTAAAAAGTTATATCATGACCACATGAAAGGAAAAAGACATGAAATGTCATCTATGTTAGACACTTCTGACTTAGAAAAAGGTGACTCAAGTGAAATGGAAACACTACCAGATAAATCTTCCAAAACTTTAGCATCTGATGTATCAGCTTATGAAATTAAATATAAGGAAGCTGAAAAACAACTTGAACTTTTAAGGGAAGAATATAAAACTTACAAAGAAGAAAAAGTAACAAATGAGAGAATGTTGTTTGAACAAATTGATAATATGAGACAAGAAATTGCTAAATTAACAGCGGCTAATAGCAAATGCGCATCAACCTCAGAGTATAATAATGAAAGACTTAAAATATTACAAACAAATATCACCACTTACAAAAAACAAATAAGTTCTTTGGAAGAAAAGAATAAAGCATATAATACAACTATAGCTAAGCACGAAGTTTCTTTGCAACACTTAAGGGATGAAGCATTAAATGCGCAAAGCAAATTAGCTGCAGCTGAGATTCAATTAGAGAATTTAAAATTGGAATGTAAACTACTTAAAGATGCTGAACAACGCGTACAAATTGAAAAGGAGATGATAAATCGCGAAAGACAAGGACAGTCTTTATTATTGAAAAACTTGGAACTTATTAAAGCTAGTTTAGAACGCGTAGAAGCCGAAAACCGTACGAAATTAGAATCAAGATTAGACGAAGCAACACGAGAATGTTCTGCTTTAAGAAGGAGACTTCAAGAGGAACAAGATCGATTTAGGGAGCTAGCTGCACATCTAGAGCGTCAAACAGAAACTGCAAAGCAAAGAATGCAAGAAGAAAAAGATGCAGCAGACGTAATGAGAAAGGAAATAACTCAGCTTAGAAGTGATTTAACTGAAAAAAATAAAGCAAATGAAGAACTCGCGAAAAAACTTAAAGCTGCTTTAGCGCCCAACACTGATGGTTCTCTTGACGCAATCAAGAAAATAAAGGAATTAGAAAATAAACTAACTGACAGGGAGGGTGAAGTCAAATCTCTTACAGAACAATTAAATATAGCCAAAGAGCACATAAAACAATATTGTGATATTTCGGAAGGGGCAGAAAAAGAAATGAAAACTTTAAACAAAGAATATGAGACTTATAAAAATGAAACTGAAGCGAAACTTGCAGATTATACCAAAAAACTACAATACATGGAAGATAAATGTGCAGCGCTGGAAGCAGAATTATCACTTCAAAATAATGGTGAATACTCTAATATCAATACTAATTTGAAAAATGAACTAGCTAGTTGTAAAGAAGAATTGAATACGGCGTTATCTAATTTAGAGACTTGTCGCACGGATCTGGAAAGTGCACGATCTGAGGTCACTGAATTATCTGAAGCAGTTCAGAAAGCTGAAGATAAATATACCCATGAAATGATATTACATTCAACCGACATTCAGACTCTTTCCCGCGTTAAGGAGGAGTTATCTAAAGTTCAAAACCAATTAAATGAATTGGTAGCATTAAAGAATAACACAATTGATAAGTTAGAAGCTGAAAAAGCATCATGGGTTGAAAGACAAAAAACCCTCTCAAGTGAAAATGAAGATCTTCTACAAAGATTGAAAGATCTAAATGATCAAAATTCAGTTTTACATGACCAAATTCAAGCTTTAGGTACACAGCTTTCAGTTTCACACGCATCAAGATCCCAGTCCGATAGTCTTAGTGAATCTGCTAATGATTCAAATATAAATATATCTATAAGTGAAGATGACGGTAAATCTTCCGAACAGCTTTTCCAAATATTGAAGTTTTTGAGAAAAGAAAAAGACATAGCAATTGCGAAATTTGATATTTTACAAGCGGAAACTATGAGACTAAGATCACAGCTAGAAATTGCTGAGAAACAACTCGATGAAGCTAAATTGGCCCTTGCAGCCGAAAGAGAAAGATCTGAGGTTAGCATTGTGACAATTAATAAACAGTCGGATATATTAAGAAAAGTAGAGACGCTCAACGCGTTAACGGATAGTAACAGAATTTTAAGAGAAGAAAGAGATAGTTTATCTGCCCGTGTAGAGGAGCTAACGGCATCTGTGAAATCGTTAGAAGAGCAGCTAAATCCTTTACAAGAAAAGATTGCGGATTTAACTTCTAAAAATGAAACCCTACAATCTGAAAACACGTCTTTAAAATCTGACTGTGCTAGATGGAGAACTAGAGTAAATGCTTTGGTTGAGCGCGCAAATAAAACAAGTCCTGAGGATTGGAAACGTCTGCAAAATGAGCGGGAAACCCTTGCTAAAATGTTGACTAATGAAAAAGAAGCACTTAAGAAGGTAAATGAAGAATTGAGTGCCATTAAAGTAGAAAAATCGAAGTTAGAAGAACAGTATACAGTATTGTCTCGACAACAAAATGCTCTAGTGGAGGATAATAAGAAACTAAATGAGGAGTTACAGACTCTTAAGGATGATATGTCACGGTTAACAGAAGAATTAACTAAATTAAGAGCAGAAAATGGTTCTCTTTTAGAAACAAATGCAAAATTAACCGAAGAATTAAGTAGTAAAGATGCCTCATTAAGTGATATAAGAAATAAAGAAATGCAAATACGAAAAATAGCAAAGAAATACAAAGGTCAGTATGAGGAACTTGTGAAAACAGTTGATGAAGACAAAAAGAAAAGTGAAGGCGAAGCGGCTGTTGCGGGAGCAGCATTGGCTGAAAGTTCTAAGAAACTGGAAGATCAACTTAGTGAACTTCAAAATCTATTGGAATCAGAAAAGACAAATAACGAGAAACTAAAACAAGAACTAGAGTCATTAAGATCAGCGAATTTGGATAAAGAAGAAAAAGCAAAACAAGTTTTAAAACAAGCAAAGAGTAAAATTGTTCAATTGACCGAAATGAAAAATACATTGAGTCGAGAATTAGATGAATCACGTAATAAAATTGGAGCTATTGAGCAGAGCACGCGGGATGAGCAAGATGTGAGATTAGCTTTGATAAAATCTCAATATGAAGGTCGACTATCCCGACTGGAGAAAGAACGTGGCGAGGCACAGGCGGAAAAGACAAGGGAAGTAGAGGCTCTTCTTCAGAAAGTGAATATGCTTCAGCGGCAATTAGCTAATCAAACGTCGGTGGGTAAGCAGCAGAGCACTGCGGAAAAGACAACCACTGATCCACCTACGGCTAATATAAAACCTATGGCTGGTAAGAATATTATCATTTGTAATATATTTAAATATATATTTATACATAATTGAAAAGTTAGCTTCTCTTGATTTTATAATTTTATAGGCGCGTAAACTATTGCAAAAAATCACCTGTTTTATTAAAAATAAAAGTTAAATAAAATTAAAAAAAAAAAACTTTGAACTTGCATTGAACTCATGCACAACCTATAAAATATGATATACATGCGTACAATTATTCTGTTAACACTACCTACAATTAACAAAAACAGGTGTATCACAACAAAGTGTGACAGCGAGTCGACGCGGTGGCGAGACTCCATTGGCATCGATCCGACCAATGGCGCAGGTTGGCCCTACTGCCCCTCACGACGCGCACACAACTGAATATATGCCAGCGTCTTCTTCTCGTCCTTTACCACGTGCTGCACTTGCCGCGTCAGCAGCTTCAGCTACCGCTGCTGCTACATCAGCTACTACAGCATCTGCTGCTACATCAGCTTCTTCAGCATCTTCCGCTCCCCCTGAGTCGACGCAAGTACGTGTTATTCATCTATGGTTGTATTGTTTTTGCTTACGTTAGTTTGTTTTTAAATTTAAAATATGTTTATATATGCTTTGATATATACTACTTTTCTATTAAAATTATTTTAATATTTTCTTAATATCTCACATTTTTAAAACATACTAAAAAGTATAAATTAAATTCTTCTAATCCTATTAATATTATTAACGCCATAAAGATTGTCCTGAAAACTTGTGATTGTACAGTGTCGTAACAATAGGGTGGCAGGCCGGGCAAAAAGCCACGGCCCTCCAGCTAGAACTGCTGCCTATCTCCTTCCGCCTCCGGCCTGAAGGGGCCTTGAGCACAGGAGGATCTTAACATTTATATTTATAACATTTAGTAAAACTTATTAGTTTTATATTTAATTAATTTAAGTTACCTACATGCATACAAAAATTAAACAAAGAAATGTATCAAAATTTCAATTAATTTATTGGAAAAGATATATCACCTAGTGAATTTTTGAACATGCTAAAAATTTAAATTTCGTAGTTAATGATGCAGTAAAAGAGGTTATAAAAATGCAAACATTCCTTGAAACTGCAACAAAATTATAATTTTTTGGGCATAGTATTAAAAGATGGAATATGTTGTTACGACAGCCAGTTGTATATTGCAGTGGTCTTTGTGAGGTGATAATGTGTGTAGGCATAAAAATTGTAAACTCTCTGTCTGTTAATGCAAGCAATAATCAACCTTACGCCTAAGCCTTTTCCCCCTGAATATTAGTATAGTTATGTAACCTCGGGTGTACTAGTACTTTTGGATTGAAAGAAAGTTCTATATTTCTTTTATTGTTTGCCGGCGATCGGAGAGTTATTTCGTTTATGTTATGAAGCGTTTTTCATAGATATTAAAAATCTACAATCATATATTTTCATTACCATCTGTATGAGGTAAGGAAAAAACAGTGTGGGAACTGGAAAAATTATTTTATGCTTTTTAATTTGTTATAAAAATCTAGTAATATATTTAACAAATATAAAATATTTTATTTTTATTTATTAACTGGCTTCTGCTCTATTTGTCTGTTTGTTTGGGATCCAGTTCTGACCTAAGTTTTAAGTTCCAAGTCTCCAACTCATCGGGAAGTTAGTTCAAATCAATCATAAAATTTGTATCAAACAGATAAACAAGAAAGCAGGTTAATTAATATAACATGTTAAGATTACTTTTTTCTGTTAGGACATGGATACGAGTGAAGCTGGTATGGGCACCTCTGGATCTAGTGATAACACTGCACAATCTTCTTCACATTCCCAACCGCCACAACAGGTACGTTTCGATGTTACTTGACGATTAAAATATGTAGATTGCCTGTTTCAGAAAGCAGATGTTATATATATATCTATATATATATATATATATATATATATATATATATATATATATATATATATATATATATATATATAAACGCTGTTTTATGGTTATATTATGTAGTTTTTTCTAATTATAAAAAAGGTCTCAGGATATTTTGCAAAATTATATTAATTATTATATTATCTTTATATTCATGGCTCGTGGACAAATTAAGAAGAACGTAAAAAAAGTGTGTATAAAAAATATCACGCATATTTATTTGTGACAATTAGGTTAAAAAAATTGAGTTTACCGTGTAATGGTTTTGTAAAAATATCCTGCGACAATAGAATAGAATAGAATATTTTTTATTCGTTATAGATTATTACATAATACATATTGAAAGTAATTTTTTTATTTACCACCGGTTCGGAAAATACCTCTGTCCTGGGAAGAATCAGCTAGAAAAACTTGTATATTGACAAATTTTGTACATTTTCTGAGATTTTGTTGTAAAAGCGTATAATTTATATTGATGAATAATAAGCTAACCCATGAATGATAAGCTAATTCTAGGGAGTCTAGTAATTGGTATTGCAAGCTTTTGTTTGTCACTAGTATTTAAACTATGAATTTGGGTGTCGTTAGAGGAGACGACGGAAACAAATAAGGAGATAGACAGCAGCGTTTCTGTTTTCTTAATAACGACTAAGTACAAAAAAAATCGGTTGCCCACTCGCTTTGCTAAGCGTGGCAACTATGGCAAATATCCTCCCTGTGAGGCAATCTATGCAGGAGGGCTTTTTTCAGCCGTAGACTTTAGTAGGCTGTAACGGTAATTTCGATTGTGCTTATTTTTTTATTATTTCCGAAATGTCAGTTATATAATACCGTTGCGCTGTTAGTGACCCATTCTCAATGACGTGGAGTTCCGTACGTGCCTCCATACAAATACCCCCCCCCCTACCCATAAGTGGCCCTCCACCATATGCCTACTTTTCCAATTATGTTTCACTGAGTGTATCTCTCTCCCGGGCGTGTGACGCCAGATGATGGAAGGATTAAAGTAGGGGCACTTTAATCCTCTATCATTTGGCAAAATCTGGACTCATCTGTAAATAGAACTTGACTCAAGCTTCCTCATTTCAATTTTTGTGATTGCGAGCAAAATTAACTCTAACTTCTTGATGGCATGTGGCAAGAAGGGGTCTCTTGGCATGCAAGTGTGTATTTATTCCAACCGATTTCAGTCTTTTTCTCATATTTATTGTGATAACTGTAACCCCTCGAACTTCTTGGAGCTGCGGTCTTAACTCAAAACAAGTTGAGGTCAGTTTCTAGCATGCTGGTAACGATGAACCGGTCATCTCTGGCCAGGGTTTTATGTTAAAGTTTTTTTTAATAGATTAGGGTGACAAACGAGCACACAGTCCACCTGTAAGTGGATACTGTGGCCCTTAGAGACCTTACATTTATCTTCAATTAAGAATCAAAATGCAGATGTGTTGTCACCCCTGAGGATTAAGATGGAATGCCTCGTTTCCATTAAAAAGGGTCTCCGGTTCTGTACACTCACTATAACGAAACATAGTAGCATTAAGGTTCTACCCCGGTCGAGCCGATCCATTCGTGCTATAACCGTAGCTGAGGCATGGCTCTACCTCTTAAAACCATCTACCACATCTCTGTCTTGCAAGTCTCGTATACTGTGCAGTCTGCTGATACCTCTTGAAAACTCGGTGTACTACAGATTTTGATACTCGTAATGTTTGGACCAAATGTTTGTAGGTGTGCCCTGGTTCATTTAAACTAAAAGCCACTAGCAACTTGAGTAGTGTTTAGATCTAGAATTCTCAGTTTATTTGTAGTAACAATTTACACTTAATATGATAAACAATTTAAACAATACCTAAATTTAAAATTAAATTCAAAAGTTAGCAAAATTTTTGGCAGTATAAAATAAATGAAATTCTAAAAAAAGAAACATTCCAAACATTTACTGATGTTTGTGGCCAGTATGCACGATAATTACTACAGGGGAAATTAAAAAAATTTACCACTAATAGGGGAAGACACTGGTTTCTAAGATACAGTTATCACAACTAGTTTAGAAGCCAGAGTTCCATTTAATTGTTAAAAGATTTGAGGCAAATAAAAATTTTATTATTATGAGTGAAAGTATATAGGAATAGTTATATTAACGTTGATTGTTGTTAAGGGGGTCGCTCTAGTGATGCCTCGCATCGAGCAGCCGAGTGGCGCGAGCTCGGGCTGTGCGGGGGCCGCGGTGGCACCGTCGGCCGCCAGCTCGGCTGCCGCGCCCAGCGTCACCAGCGTGGTCGCCGTCGCCGCACCGGCTACGCCCGCTACGCCACAGTCGGGTGAGCTTACCACGCCACGTCTGGCATCCCCTGATGGACTCGCACAACGATCAACATTAAATTTGTTGATTCATAATTGTTAATCATTCGTCTATCCATCCTTATCATGTAAAAATTTAAGGATTTCAGAAGCCTGAATGACCTTGACGAAACGGGGACTGCAGTCTTAGAGATAACAGGGCAATATACCATGCACAAAATGTAGACACAACATAACAGGGATCACCTTATTCCTGGAGATTGTTTTCATTTATGTATTGGTATTCTAAATATTATAACAACCTTTGAAAATTTATGTGTGGATTATACAAGATTGATAAAGAAAGTTGTATGAGTACCTTTTTTACTTTTAACCTGAAGCCACTAGGACTCTGAGGCGAAACGCTCGACGCTTCAGGCTCGTGGATATAATATTCAAAATGTCACTGGTTCACAAGCCCTGCAGTAGGGATGCTATGTTTTTACGAAAGCCATACACGATACTTTATTGCAAAATATAATAGTAATGTCTCAACGGAGACTAGCCATCGACGCCGGACAGAATTATAGTGCCCAAATGTAAGAACAGAAGGGGGAGTTGATCGAGCAAGTAGATGAGTTTGTATATTTGGGCTGCGTATTTAGCAGGGATGGGAGATATGATAAGGATATAGAACGACGAGTGAATGCGGGAAATAGAGTAAATGGGGCCCTGCATTCTATTGTGAAGAGTCAAAATGTGTCGAAAAAGGCACGTATGGCAATTCACAATGCTGCGATGGTCCCTACTTTAACATATGGTAGTGAAAGTTGGGTGTGGCAGAAGAAGCACGAGAGTAGAATCAACGCAGTAGAAATGCGGTCGTTAAGGAGTATGTTAGGGCTGAATCTGAACGACAGGGTAAGAAATTGTGTAATAAGAGAAGAGTGTGGTTTGCAAGATGATGTGACCAGGATTAAGAAAGGAATGCTTCGGTGGTTTGGTCATGTGGAAAGAGTGACAAAGAAAATTTATGTTGCAGAAGTGAATGGCAGAGTCGGAAAGGGACGTCCTATGCGAAAATTTATCGACCAAATTGGCGATTTATTGAAAACGGGCCAAATTAGGAGTACCCTTAACCAACGAGCATGTATGCGTAGGTGTATGGATGTGAAGGAGGCGAGAGAGGTGTGTCAGGATCGTGCCAAATGGAAGTCTGTAGTCTCTGCCTACCCCTCTGGGTGACAGGCGTGAGTGTTTATGTATGTATGTAAATGTATGCGCAAGCACAGGTGCACTCTCATAGTTCGATAAGACTGTAAACCGACACAACCGGAGAGAGATCAGGTACAGGATAAACGGCTTTACGTTCTTTCCGAGACACGGGTGCTGACTGAGCAGCTACTGGCAATTTATTGATGAAAAAGCTCAATAACTGTTTTTTTTGCCAGACCCGGGATTCGAACCCGGGACCTCATCATGAGTAGTCGCGCTATGACCACCACTACACCAACGGTGTAGTCATATATAAAATATATCATTATAGTGGAATTTACATTTATAAAAGAGCTACGCTGTTATTATGTCATCTGGTACCTGTATACCTCATTCTTATTTTCATAGATTAAGTATTAACTAAAGTGAGAATAGATTAGCAATACAAAAAAGGAAGAGCATAGTGTACGCGTAGGTTAGAGCGAGGAAGATGGCTAGACCATTCACGTACACGCTATCGACCTGGCGTCATTCGTGAATAAAACGAATCCCGCTTGTGTTTGTAAAATCCCAGGTTTTAAAAGTAAAAATTAGTATTGGATAGACGTAATTGATGATGACTAGTTGCGTAGTACATAAATATAACTCATCTCAGAAAAAATCCCACATTATTATATATTTAACCCATAATGAAATGAAATGTTTAGCTGTTTAAGTGCCTTGAGCGGGTACAAATAATTTGTACTTAAATGGATAGAAAAAATTATCACATTTTATAATACTCGTCATCTGAATGCAAAACAGTTGAATTTAAAATAATTACAAATAAGTGAAATTGTTCGTGTAAATTTAAGAAATCATTAAGTGAAATTCTGCTAATTTTAACCTCACTTTCGTCGAGATTGACATTATCGATAATATCTTATTTAAATGTCCTTAACATGCAAAGGTACGCCTTGCATGCAGTCTTATTAAACTTCGTTTTTTTATTTTTTATTTTAAGGTACTGTAATATTTTTTAAATTTTTTTTAACTAAGTGCGAGCAGCTATGCAGGTCTAGGGAAAGAGACCAGTATCACTGCGACCTAGAAGATCTATTGTGATCGCTGCTATGGCTATAGTTCACGGGTAAGCCCTATGTCTTCAATGAATAGAAGAAGTTGCTTAGCCGTGAGCAATTTCACTTCTTCTGGGCGGAGTACATAGTTTCCCAGATGAGTGTTACGTTTGCACATTAAGGATCCGCAATCAGTTAGGATGTGTAGAGGCGTTTCTTCCGTTATGGAACACAACCGACACATCCTTCAGTTGCGTAGTCCTAGGATGGACATGTGGTTTTTAAGACAACAGTGTCCAGTTAGGGCTCTTGCCAGTATGCGCAATTTATTTTTACTTAATCGAAAGCGAATTTACGGTCAAAAGCCCGGATTAAGGTTTTAGAATGTTTTAGGCCTGGTGTGTCAGACCAAATCTTCAGTGATTTATTGTGATAAAGAGTTTCAAGGGTCAATCGGGCTAGGCTTCGGTCCAAATAGTGTGCACTTTGAGCCCTCCCGTGCAAGTTTGTCGGCAAATTCGTTGCCTACAATGCCCTCATGACCCGGAACCCATCTTAAAACGACCCTGTTGTTACATCCCAGGGCGTTTAAACGGTTCACGCACGGTTCACGCAGTCTCCAAATAGCTTTGAGTTCACTATAGTCAACCAAATCTAAGAAATACATTTTGACAGCTGTCAGACTTATTGCACCAGGCATGCCAACCAAAAAATGGGAACATACAATATTCGATTTTTAAAAAAATCGATACCGATTATTTAGAGTTAGTAATCATTTACAGTTTGGTTTGAATAATACCAGAATAAATTAAAAACGAGTAATTTATAAATTACAATATTTATCAGTTTCTACGTATTTGTTGTTACTGCTTATTTTTAGAGGCACAGTTATAAAAATTTAAGATTAAAACTAGATTAGAATTTATTCAATCACTTTCAGTACAACTAATTGAGCTGTCGTTGTTTAGATTAATTATTATTTGATTTTCAATAATGCAATCAAAATTAATGTCTCTTTAAAAGTCATCCATAATAAAAATAAAATGTTTGTTCTACCTCTTTTGCCCAATGATCCTTTGTGATTCTTCAACGAATACATATAAAAGAAACGGTCCAAAAAGTTAAAGCCGAGTCATAAAATAAGAAGACAAACACAAAATTAATTGAAAATAAATTAAGAAATTTGTTCTGTCAAAAGCACCTTCTATGTCTATGAAGGAGCCTAGAGATATTGCTTTGTTTTGGATGGCCTCTTCAATCTTTGTTATTACCTGGTGAAGTGCCGATTCTGTTGATTTACCTAAGCTATAGGCGTGTTGTTTTTCTTGTAGCGCACACCGAAGTATGGCGAAAATTTCTGCTTGGAAGATTTTTAGACTCATCGGTATACCATATGAGGCTACCGACCTCACAGATAACCTGGCCACTCAGCCAGTATTCTCTGGAGGGTAATCCTACTATATACTTTTTATCAAAAGTGTGTAGTGGACGCATGATATCTGAGATCATGCATAAGACCGGTGATTCCTTAATTGAGTCGAGCATGGATCTCAATCTGTAGGAGAGCAAGCTCAGACCGCCCTGGGCGTTAATCCTATACAAACTAGCCCTCGCCTCCTTGTCTAGATAGAGATCAAAGGACGTTAGGGATAAAAGTGCATTAAGAGCCGCTCCAGGCGATGATCGCATAGTTCCAGTTGTCATTAAGCAGGCAGTCCTTTGTAGACTATTTAGTCCGTCCGCAGTCGTCTTTTGATTGGCCTTGTTACCCCAGACAATAGAGGCGTAGGTGGGAATCGGCCTCACTATGCTGCTGTACAGCCATAGGACCATACTGGGACGCAAGCCCCAGTTGTTCCCGAACTGGGATGCAAGCCCCAGTTGTACCTAAAGCCATTTTTGCCTTATGGCATACGTTGCTAAGGTGAGAGTTCCACGTTAGTTTTTGGTCGATTGTTACGCCCAAGTACTTAACTTCCGTGAAAAATGGTACTTCTTTACCATTAAGTTTTGGTTGAACTAACATGTCCAACCGTCCCTTTTTGGTAAAGGGTATTATAACAGTTTTATCAGCATTAACTGATAAACTGTTATCCCTACACCAGTTATTTATGGTGTTTAGGGCTCTTTGTATTATTGACGATAAAGTACTTTGGCAAAAGCCCCTCGCAATGATCACAAGGTCATCAGCATAACCCAGTGTGTCAATGCGTAGGTCCTGCAATTTTGTACAATAGTTGGTCAACCGCAAGAGTTCACAGAAGGGGTGACAAAACACCTCCTTGTGGGCAACCTCTTGTAGTTGCAACCCCAATCGAAGTTTGAAACAGCGCTATTTTTGCCTTTCTGTTTGAGAGCATCGACTTCACCCATCTGATGGTTGTGGGGTCAACATTTTTAGATGTTAGACCCCCAATCAGGAGTGATGTGGGGCTACTGTCGAAGGCGCCCTCAATATCTAGAAAGGCACAAAGAGCTATTTCTTAATCCTCCAGTGCTTTTTCGACTCTGTCAATAATACTGATCAGGGCTGTTTCCGTAGATTTGTTTTTTTTTAAGTTTGAAGTTAACTGCAAGTTTTCATTGGCTGTTGGACTTTAATTCGTTCAATGCAGTTTTATAAGAACTAACTTTAACTGATAGATACTGATATAGTTAACATTTTTATAACATGTGTTTTCGGAATGTCGAGAATATTCTAATTACTCCTTTTATTGGATACCCAGACATATATTAATATTTATTTAGTTAGTACATAATAGCCATTCAGTGTGGAAACGCAGTCAACATTTTTGGCAATGTTCTTGTCAATATCACAGGGAGTAGGACTGTATGATAATATAAGTTTTTAGTTTTAGATTTTCTCATATATATAATCTTTTAATATTGTATGTATTTTAATATTTCATTATAATTACATAAACACTCACGCCTGTCACTCAGAGGGGTAGGCAGAGATTAATGACTTATATTTGCCACAATCCTGACATGCTGGTATGTAAATGGTACTCTTAATTTGTTCCATTTTCAGTAGATCGCTAATTTGGTCGATACATTTTCGCTGGGGTTGTCATTTCCCGATTCTGTCGTTCACTTATGTAACATGCTTTGACAAAGTAAATCTATGTTTCATTATATATCCGCAAGAAGCACACATGCACACTACAGGCACATTGGTGTATTTTGATTTTGGTCTCGTTCTAATCATTCTATTGCTAATCTATACTATACTTTATCTATGCTCATTTCTAATACTTTTGCAATATAATTTTATTCAATTAAATACATTCATCGAATCTTTATCAATCATTATTTTTTTTAATTTTAGGATTAAATTAACAGTTGTGATATTTTTAACATTACTATCTTTTATCACAGACGTATATTTTACCAAAATACCACATGATCTTAAGTCACTTAGATATTAAATACGTTAGTTGCCTGGCACTTGATAAATTAATAAACACTCAATAAACTCACTTAGGTGCAACAAGCGCAACACCAACTTCGGCGGTCGGCAACCAAGCGTCAAGCGGCGTGAGCACGTCGCACACTACACCGGGCGTCAGCACAACCCACGCGACGCCGGGAGTTAGCACTTCTCATGTTGCGCCGGGTGTCAGTACGTCGCAAGCGGTCCCCGGCGTCAGCACTTCGAACGCCCCTCCCGGCGTCAGCACGTCCAACGCGCCGCCCGACGCACGACCGCAGAAGCGACGCCTGCAAGCGAGGCCCGTCGCTGCAAAGAGGACGCGTGTACAGGTAACGGTATTATTTTTTCACCGTGATGTGTTTTTTTTTTTAAATTATAAGTCATACTGATTTTGAAACTGTTTTAAGATTGTTCGCTTATTAACCCTATTTTGCTTTTGCCATGCGACGATGTCAGTTTTCTTTTGGGATTGGGCTTGGGATGGCTTGATAATATGCATGGAGTGGTATGGGGCGCTGTCCATAATTATAATAGATGAATGAATAAAATGATAGAAAACACAACGTGCACACGCACACGCATGCGCACGCAAATGCGACTTATTACGAAATAATGTAATTATATAGCACGCGGTCTGTCCAACGAATGACATGTAATGTAACGTGCTACGAGGTTTAGCGTGCTGCAAAACTTTACGCGCTTGTCGGCCTCCCACGCTTTCTTATAAATAGCGCGCTATAACATAGCGTATTTAGTTTATAGTCTGAAACGTGCTATTGATTTATAGTCTTTTAAACAACATTACTCCACGCCCCCTGGAACCTTGCACCCTCTGCTCCAGCCTGGTCAGCCTGTGGGTAAATCAGGCCCTGCCAGCAGTGGACGTATATAGACTTACTTTATTTTTCTAATTTAATGAATTCAAAACGATCATTGCTATGCTATGAAGGACTGTCTTTATAAAGTTTTTTAATTATATGCATATACCTAACGGAAGTATTATTAGGTCATGACCTAAATGAATGACGCGATTGCAACTAAGCAATATTACTTACCTATTCCATTAGTATTTTTATATTATTGTAATTGGCTTTTATTTTGGTATTCAATAAACGGACCTGTAGGCTTACTCTTGAAAACAATTCCGATCAATCAGGATTGGAATTATGACGTTTGGTACTCTTGAAAGCGACTCTAGCGCTAAATTAGTTTAGTATTGCGTGGTGATTGTGTGAACTTATTGGGATTGGAATTGAAATTGTCCAAGCGAAATCGGTACTCCCGACGCATTTTTACTAGTTGACAGCAGCTTATTGTGTTTGATATTGCGTTGGAATTGGAATTAGGGCAATAGTAAAACAGTAACGTTTTAGGAATTGTGTTCATGTTAATCTTTTGTTTTCTGCAATTATCTTATTGTTTTCGATAAAATAATGACATGACAAGAGCTAATCTTGCGTCTATTATTGTACGCCGTAATAGTGCATTACAATTAAAATAATGACGAAATGAGCTTCAAATTATGCGTTTTAAGCACTTAGCAGCACAAGCAGTTTTTTCTATGAGTGATGATGATTATGGAGCTAGTGAGTGTATTATTAAGGACTTTAGTGAGAAAATAGTGCATGAATAAAAACCTAAATATGACCCTCCGTAGTATATTTTACATCATATTGTTACAGCCTTTATTTTTAATTCGTTTTAAAGTGGTTGTTTTGTAGAAGAAATATTTTCAATAGTTAGGCGACGCAAAGGTTTAAAGAGGATTGTTTAGATATCGCAAGTATGGTCTAAAGCATCCCACTACTGGGCAGAGGTCTCTTATCATGTCTGAGAGGTTTATTGGCGGGTTTCACACGTAAAGGAAATATGAATATAATAAATGTATAATTTTATAAGAATTAAAAATAAAATTATATAGCCAATGTAATTTTAATAACATATAACTTAACACAGCATAAACACTCACGCCTCTCACTCGAGGGGTGGGCAAAGACTACAGACTTCCATTTGGCACAATCCTGACACACCTCTCTTGCCTCCTCCACATCATTATACCTACACATACATGCCCGTCGGTTAAGAGTTTCGTGCTCTCGGTTAAGAGTGCCTTTAATTTGGCCCATTTTCAATATATCGCCAATTTTGTCGGTATTCTTTCGCCTAGAACATCCCTTTCCAACTCTGCCGCTCACTTCTGCAACATAAATTTGCTTTGTCACTTGTTCCTCATTCATTTTTTGTATACGACCATACCACCGAAGCATTCCTTTCTTAATACTGGTCACATCATCTTGCAAACTACACTCTTATCACACGATTTCTCACCCTCTCACTCATCCTACCATACTCCTTAATGACTGCATTTCTACCGCGTTTATTCTACTTTAGTGCTTCATCTGCCACACCCAACTTCCACTACCATATGTTAAAATAGGGACTAACAGCAAGTTTAGAGCCCTAATTACTTTATTTCCTGCATTCACTCATTGCTTTTTAAAAAGGATTTGTTAATAAAATTCTGATACAAATTTAACCATTTATTTAATATAATACAAACATATTTTTATTAACCTATCACCATTAGTATATATTCTTACCTACGTACTAAATCTACATTAAATCTATTTTTCATATTTGAAATTTGATAATATAGCTGAACATATTATGTAATCAAAAACATATTGATTATATATCAAATGATAAGACTATGAAATTAAAATCTTAAAATTATATCTTCAGTGAACCAAAAATTAGTCTCTTTTACAAAAGTAATTTAAGGAAAACAAATAAATTTAAAAACATTAAAACATTTATAAAATGAAATGAAAGTCTTATTTTAAATTACAGCAATGCTATTGTTGTTGTAGTCTGTTTGGAAAATTTAAAACAATAATATTAAAACCCTCAATTGTCCTGGCTATTTTGGACATTGCATTTGATTATCTTTGTAGAGTAATGTATTATAAATCAATGCCAAAATTAAGGTGGAATATTTGAATTAGAAGTTTTAATCCATCACAAGCCATTTAAAAGGATGTTTAAGATTTATTGACAACATCTATATTCTCTACACTAAGATTTAATTAGATGCCACACAACAACATTGAGAAGTTAACGAATCAACATTGTTATTTGTAATAACTAACTAGTGAGAAAGATTAATTGTAAGTTGAGTCTTCAAAAGCAACACTTGACCACCTTTGAGCCTGTGACTGCTATCGATCCCTAGTTTAATGTTGTTCAACAGGCCAGAAATTGCTTTTTTTCTGTGCCCAAATTAAAAAAAACATATCTACTTATAAAATTCTTAAAAAACATTGATATACTTACTTTAGCCTATCCTTGACCATTATTATTTATTTTGTTCCTCCTAATTAGCTAACAGTGCCCATTTCGTCTGTTTCATATGATGCTTAATTGTGTTAATGCGGTAATGAACTATTTCAAACTGTTTATAGTTATACCCAAATTGAAAGGTCTATTAGTAATTCACTGTACACATACTTAAAAAGCACTTCACCTTTAAACTTGAAAAGAGTTCTTCGAAAGTTGATATTTGTTTACTTTGTTTCATGATTGTTGTGATAACAATTTTTTTCTGACAACATAAAAATGAGGCAAACACGCTCCTATACAGCCTTATAATTAATTAAAACTCGCAAACATAGCGTTTTTTATAAGAACTGTATAAAAAGATGTTATGTTTGACGAATTACACCATTTATTAAGTATTTTTACTTCTTAAACGCTCGTTTATGAAAGTTACAAAGGGTTTATTATGACTTTACCGGTTTAACGATAAATAAAACATGCCTGTTGCTAAGAGTAACGCAGCTAACTTCATGTGGTACAACAAAATTTTTGGCCAATCCGAGCGCAATTCCGATTTCAATCCAATGTTGTCAAAATTGTTTTCAAGAGTACGCTAATTTGTCAACATTGGATTGAAATTAAGATTAGATCGAAATTGTTATTGGATTCAAGAGTAAGCTTGCTGAATGAGTAAAGTATCTTTCAATCACTACATCAACACCAACAATCCTAATATTGCATTATATTGTGATTGTAGCATGAATGGATCGGCTTGTACGGGGAAGGACCCCACTCTCGCATAATACCAGTGTAAGGTAGTGGCTTAATGCTGCTTTGTTTCGTTTGGTGCGTGTAGAGAACCAGAGACTCTTTTTACTGGAAACGAGTCATTCCATCTTATTCCTCAGGGATGGCAACGCATCTTCATTTTGATTCTTAATCGAGGAAAGATGTAGATGTCTGTGGGCCAGAGCATCCACTTAACATCAGGTGGATTGTGTGCTCGTTTGTCACTCTTATTCTATTAAAAAAAAAACATGTAAAATGTCAAATATCTGTAGAGTTTGTTATTACTTGTAAGTGCTTAACAACATTATCATTAGTAAAAGTTTTCATTACATCCAAAACGGCTAAAACTGAACATAGGCCTCCACACAGATTACCGCTAGGGGGGATATTTGCCATAATTGTTACGCTCGGGGTCGGCAGCTATTGTTTTAATTTAGCTCTACCGTGTAAATATAATCATCATCTTTACAGTTTTTCAAAAATCCTCTGACAAGGAATATCACTAACCATATTCCTCAGTTACCTTCATCCGTTGACTTCCATGTGTCTTCAAAGTTGTCACTCCAACTAATTGGGGACCTCCCTCTAATTCGCTTACCACTACGAGATTGTCACTCGAAACTTTTCTTAAAATTAATTAAAATAATTTTAAAGCGTTTATGTTTTGGTTATTCAGGGTTTTGAAAGATCTGTAGAAGTAGAGTACCAAGTGCCAACGTCATCGCGTTGTGATCAAGATGACGAAGGAGTCATTGTAGTGGACTCAGAGGAAGATGACGAGCGATGCTCTGGCACCATGTACAGGGTAAATGTTTAAGTAATATTTTATTTTCAGATTTCCAAAATATTGTAATTTTTATATTGCTATTATTTAGTCATCTCCAATTGAAGTTACATGTTATGGCCCAAATATTTCTTCAAACTTTATACATTTTATGTATGTTGTACAACTTGTATTCCCATCTCTCTTGTTGAAAATAAACATTGTTCAAGTTTATTGTATTATTAAAGGAACAAATACTCAAAAATATCAAGTATTTGCAAAACTATGACAAAAATGCTTAAGGTTTTAGTCTTGTTGCAGGAAGGTGAGGAAGATGATGAAGATATGGAAGAAGAACAAGAAGTTGAGGGTGGTGAAGAAGAAGAAGAAATAGAGGGGGATGATGGAGAAAATGCTGCCCGACAGGTAAGAAATAAATAAAAAAACGTATGTTATTTTCCTTACTTTTTAAATGGAAATGGATTTTAACGTTTATACGCGCAAAACTTGTATGTGCATCGAGAGAAGTTTGATGTGTGATACCAGATCCCATCCAATATCTTAAGGAAAACAAGCCGCTGAAGAAAAAACAAAACAAGTAAAGCAAAAAACACAGAAAAATGTGACCTATCCTATGGCTATAATCATCAATGGACTTTGTGATGATGCTGATGATCTACATATCTTAATATATATAATTTACGTACGACGTTTGTCCGCCATGAACTCCTAAACTAATTAACCGATTTTGATCAAATTTGCACACCGTGTGCAGTTTGGTCTAACTTGAGAGATAGGATAGTCTTTTTGCCCATGAGTGACCCAAATTTTTTTTTGCGAATTTAGGGTTTTTAATAGGACATGACAAAGGGTCGATGAATAGGGCAGAACAACGTCTGCCTGGCAAGCTAGTTTAATGTATAATATGGTTATTTATGTCTTAACAGTATATAAATAATCCTCTAAGTTCAATAGAAGGCAGTTATTCCGATATATAGATAAACATTTCAATTTTATAATCATGTTTAGATTTTTATAAAAAATACAAGTAAACGAAATTGTTAATAAAAAAATCATTAACTAAGTTTTAATTTAAAAAATTCAATCTCCAAGGTACCTCTGAAGTGATTGATTGAAGCTGCTCTTGGGACTCGGTTGGCTTTCGGTGAGCTGGCGATTGGTCAGTTTATAATCGCTAGTTACTATATAAAGTTCAAAACACATGAGTAGATAAACGGAACAGAGACAAAGTTTCTTAAGAACGTGCAAAATTGTTACCTGTTTTGGTAGAGTTGTCACAGTAGGTGAAGACAAATTAAAAAAATCATTTGTTAAATAGTTTTGTTATTCAGTATGATACTTACATACTCTAATAATTTTCTTTTTATAGTTTTTGTTTTTAATAATTTATTTTTTCTTTTAATGCCGGGGTAATTGACGCCCAAATTGTGGGTGATGGACAGAAAGATAGTGCGCAAAGGGCTGTCTGAAGGTAGCTAGGGCGCGTCTGGAGCTGGACGCGACAGCATGCGGGCCGCCAGCCGAGCGTGGGGCGCTGCAAGTCCACCTAGCAGTCACCCGCATCCATCATCCCCACCAGAAGGCTTGGTGTCGGCTGGGTCTTTTCAGTTTAAAGTTTTTAGAAATTACGTTTTCTTAAAAAAAAGTAAAGTAAAGTTACAGCCTATATACGTCCCACTGCTGGGCACAGGCCTCCCCTCATTTCTGAGAGAATTTTAGGGCAAGGAAGTGATGAATCGTGACACTTGGCGATCTGTTCTCTCTGGCTACCCCGTTAGGGATTGTGCGTGAAGATAAGTAAAGTAAAGTAAGTGTCCACCGCGCTGCCCCAATGCGTGTTGGCGAACTTCACATATTCGAAATATTTTTTTTTCTTATTCCTCAGACATGCAGGTTTCCTCACGATGTTTTCCTTCACCGCCGAGCACGTGGTGAATCAGCACTTAAAATTGCAATTAACAATTTCATGTGCCGGCGGGGATCGAACCCGGGTTACTCGCGTTCTTTTATATAAACAGCGAGCGTTAACCATCTGAGCTACCACGGCTCACGTTTTCTTTATCTGCATTTTTACAAATATTTCTGTGAGACAAATCACGTCTATCGGTTCTTCAATGTAAGTAAATTCGCGATGCACACCTCATCTCGATATTTATTCATCATCTCATCATCTTGCAGTCATAAATCTGCAAGCAGAAATATTATTTTGTACAAAAATATTGATTTGTGCTAAATTTTTAAAGTATTTAACTAATTAGTAAATTCAAAAACTTATGTGCGCATAATAGTGCTACAATTTATGTGTTTTAGTAGCTAATGAATAACAAATAAATGACCGAATCAGGATAAAACCTAAATGAACTTGTCGTCCCTGACAGATTTATTTCGTAATTAGTCAGTTTGACGACGAAGAGCTGCTTAGTGCTATGTTTGGAATTGTAATCGCATTCTGGATTCCGAACGTTAGATCGTTTCGTTTGGGTAATTTTGTACAATAGTGAAAGTGATACGTGACATTTTCGAATTCGTTGTTCACAAACAGACAGATTGGATAATTTGGTGCTATCCCACTATTTGTTTGGCAGGATACGCCTGCGCAGTCCCCGGAGGCGGGCTCGGCAGGCTCGGCAGGTTCTGCGGGGGAGGCGATGGAGGCGGGCGAAGCGGGGGAGGCGGGCGAGGCGGGGGGAGGAGGACGAGGCGGGCCCGGGCGCTGCGCCCGCGCCGGAACCCGACAGCGAGCCCGCGCCGCAGCACCAGCAGATCGAGGCCATTAGTAGCGGCACCGAGCGTAAGTCACTCCCCTCTACTGCATAAAAAAGCCTTTTAATTTTTATTCATTTCATTCTCAACTTCAAATAAAAGTTATAAATACAACTCTATTTTTTAAATATTTGTAATGCAACATCTTCAATTTTAACGCATTTTCTTAGCTATTTTCATATTGATCTTTTTGTAAATGTATGCATGATTATTTCTGTGAACACAGCTAAGAAAATGCATTAAAATTGAAGATGTTTATTACAAATATTTAAAAAGTAGAGTTTGTATATGTTACCTCCCATAATCTAAATCACTTGACAGATTTTGAAGAGCGAGATGTCATTAGATATTTTTTATGCATTTAGTAACCACAGTACATATTTATTTTAAGAATCTACTAAGCGTAAGTTGTAGTCAGCAGATAGTAGAATCATACTGTCATAATCACAAGAAAAATTTTACAGGTATTGTAAAAATTTCATATTTGATCCATGTATCATTTACAGATATTGCTAATGATGATGACTCATTCCAATTTTAGTTTAGGCAACAGTTTGCTTAAAAGGGGTTAAAATAATATATATGGATTGTAAAAATTTTATTAAAAATATTGGAATGATAATGATTTCTTAAATTTACGCGAACACTACACATTGATTAAAACTACTTTTACGGAAACAGCCTATGATGAATGCTATAAGAGACGAGAATGGCTATATTCTGAATGATGAAGTTTTGAGTTTAAAGAGATGGAAGGAATATTTTGAAAGCGTGTTTATGAGTGAGGAGACAACGTGTGTACTAAGTGAAGTAGAAATTCCGAAGGAAGAGGAAAGAGGTAGCGAGATTAGTGTAGGTGAAATAATGAAAGCAATGAAAAGCATGAAAGCAGGTAAGGCTGCCGGATATGATAGAGTTTCACTCGAAATGCTAAGGGCTGGAGAGGAAGTGGTGGCAGGCCTGCTGCACACCTTGTTTAATTTATGCTGGGAACTGAAGCGGGTACCGGTAGACTGGTGCAAAGCCGTGATAGTCCCAGTATATAAGGGAAAAGGGTCGCAGCAGGACTGTAAAAACTACCGTGGCATCAGCCTTCTTAGCATTGTGGGAAAACTGTATGCTAAGGTACTGATTGAAAGGGTCATGAAAGAAACTGATGGAAAAATTTGGGATGTGCAAGCAGGATTTAGAAAGGGAATGGGATGTACAGATCAAGTCTTTTCCATGCGCATGATCGCGGAGAAGTTTTTGGCCAAAAACCAAAAGGTTTTTTGTGCGTTCATGGACTTGGAAAAGGCCTATGACAGAGTGAATAGGGATGTGCTATGGCAAACACTGAACTCATTTGGGTTGAGCGCTGGCTTGATACGGGCATTGGAGTCCCTTTATAGGGACTCTAGTGCTTGTGTTAGGATCAACGGGGTCTACTCGGACTGGTTTGACATCCATAAAGGTGTCAGACAGGGCTGTGTAGCTTCCCCGTGGCTGTTCAACCTATTTATGGACAGTTGTTTGCAAAATTTGAAAGTTGAAGAATGCGGATTAAGAATGGGTGAGTTAACCGTCAAATGCCTTTTGTACGCCGATGATCAAGTTATACTTGCGTCGTCGGCGGCCGAGTTGCAAATGATGGTTACATTAATGAACAGATCATTAAAAGAAAGGGGTATGAAAGTGAACGCAAGTAAGACGAAGGTTATGGTTTTTTGAAAGAGAAGAAAGTAAAACGATTTGTGAAATAAGAATAGAAGGGGAGTTGATCGAGCAAGTAGACGAGTTTGTATATTTGGGCTGCGTATTTAGCAGGGATGGGAGATATGATAAGGATATAGAACGACGAGTGAATGCGGGAAATAGAGTAAATGGAGCCCTGCACTCTATTGTGAAGAGTCAAAATGTGTCGAAAAAGGCACGTATGGCAATTCACAATGCTGTGTTGGTCCCTACTTTAACATATGGTAGTGAAAGTTGGGTGTGGCAGAAGAAGCACGAGAGTAGAATGAACGCAGTAGAAATGCGGTCGTTAAGGAGTATGTTAGGGCTGAATCTTAATGACAGGGTAAGAAATTGTGTAATAAGAGAAGAGTGTGGTTTGCAAGATGATGTTGTGACCAGGATTAAGAAAGGAATGCTTCGGTGGTTTGGTCATGTGGAAAGAATGAATGAGGAAAGAGTGACAAAGAAAATTTATGTTGCAGAAGTGAATGGCAGAGTCGGAAAGGGACGTCCTAGGCGAAAATTTATCGACCAAATTGGCGATTTATTGAAAACGGGCCAAATTAGGAGTACCCTTAACCGACGAGCATGTATGCGGAGGTGTATGGATGTGAAGGAGGCGAGAGAGGTGTGTCAGGATCGTGCCAAATGGAAGTCTGTAGTCTCTGCCTACCCCTCTGGGTGACAGGCGTGAGTGTTTATATATATACTTTTACGGATTTTATCGCCTTTAATATTTTTTTTAATTTCCGACGTTTTGGGTGTTGGAAAGCAATAAATATAACAGTCCCAATTAATGCAATGCAATAAATATAACAATCCCAATTAATGCAATAAATATAACAATCCCAAAAAATGCAATACATATAACAATCCCAATTAATGTAAGCTTATCTCTATTTTATTTTCTTTTACAGCAAGTGGTACGCTATCTTTAGGTGGTAACGGAGCAGACGATGGAGATGACAGTATAGTGCCATCTACTCCAACTCTATATGTCCCAAGACGGAATGATGGGTTTGTATTTTATGTTTATTTGTATATTGTGTTCCAACCTAACATTTGTATTCATCTTACTACTAGGCCCTTTTTGCTTGGTTACACCTGTAATTAAAGGAAGACTTAAATCATTTTCCTCTTGAAATAATTTTTAGTTTACTATTTATATTTCTTCCTTATTGACCCAGTAAATAAAGCAGTAGTAGCGCAAAATGCTGGACATCCACAAAAATTCGTATCACGTAGGTGATCCCAAGTTTTATTCTCTATTATATGATATACTCGGCTGTAAACAAAAACTCCGTGAGGCGAGCAACTATAATATATTCTAAACACTATATTGTTTAAGTTTAAAAAAAAAACAAATATTTACGTAATTCATTGAAATTACGAAATAAATAAATTATATTGAAATTCTATTATTTTATAGTTTTGTTCAATGTTTATTAAAATAAAACATATAATTTTTAACTAGAAGTATAACAATTATTTTTTTCTCAGGCTCTTGATATATGTAAAATTACCATACAGAATTCGAGTCAAAAATTGATTCCGATATCAGTCGTATCGTGTCGTATCTTAAGTGAAATGTTTTACTTATATTCTCACTACCCACTGCCTATTCAGATGCACTCAATAATAACTTCTTTGTTTTTTCTTCTTATAGCATATTATCTTTCAAATATTTTCTGGTGACTAGACATCTCAGCGATTTTCGAAGTGAATGCTAATTGTGAATGAATTGTGATTGTGGCTAGTTGCTGTCACGAAGTGAATGCAGTATAAAGTATGAGCCATGTAAAATTGCGTTTTTACGTGGTAGAGCTGCAGCTATATTACGGCTCGATCGGAGAAGGACCACGCTTAGAATACTAGCGTAAAATAGCAGCTTAATACTGCTGTGTTTCGTATGGTGAGTGTAGAGAACCGCAAGACTTCTTAGTGGAAACGAGGCATTCCATTTTTCCATCCATCATCCATTACCATCACCAGAAAACTATGCTTTAAAACTGATATAATAGCGTCATCTACTTCATTCTATAGGTAGAGTCGTTTTATCGAAAAAAAAAATGATTAACTCTCAAGGTGGTACGTAAATAGACGCAGGATGACCACGACTAATTAAATATAATATGCTATCTCTTTCTCACGCAGGCTAAATTCTATAGATGGTATGTATGTCGCATTTTCGTTTGATCGAGTTTTAAATGACGACGATTGTAAAGAAGATTTGACTTGGAAAAGGTTCGGCGAGGCGGTGGTGTCGCCGCTGGGCGCGGGCGCGGGCGCTGGCGGGGGCGTTGGCGGCGCGGGCGCGGACGCAGAGGCGGCGAGCGGCGCGCGCTTCACTTTCGCGGAGGGCGCCGCGTCGCACCACGACACGCACGCAGACCTGGCCGCCGCACTGCCTCCGCCGCACGCCGCGCCGCACCACACGCGCTCGCACACCGACAGACGTCAGTATTCTTTTTTTTTAATTTATGGTAATAGCGACAAAAGAATTCTGCCAATTTCGCCTTATTACTTCCTTTGGTAAGGGACTCGTACGATTGTACTTTTGCCAGTATCAATTATGTAGTAATTATCCCTTATACTAACTTCTTCATAACTCTTTATTGCATTTGAACAAAGTTATTACAGTAATGGAAAACTTATGACTACAAACGGTGGTCATATCGCTTTAAGTGATTTCTGCCTGACAAACCGAACATAAAAGGATATTATAATTTCATATTGCAATGCAACGTGTTATATGAAATAAACTGAAAAAAAAATATTATTAAAAATAATTTTTGTAAAAATATATTAATAATATATAATATTTAATGATCATATATACCTTGTCCTCCCCCTCTCTTCGAACCTCGGATAACCCTATAATATGCCAGCGTAACTTGTATATATATATATATATATGTGTGTGTGTGTGTACAATAATTTTAATTTAATATATTCAAATATATACTGCAGAGAAAATTTAACAAAAAAAAATCAAGTATTTATGAAAAGACAAAATACATAAGTTAAAGTTAAGTAGTTTTTTCAAAAGACGGTAAAAATTGCGCTTTCTGAATGTTAAGTGGTAATGAATCTAAAGTCGTGTTGCTAGTGAAGTAAATGATTTATTATAAAATGAAGTTACGCTGTAAGAAGTATTTAAAGCCAAGCTATACACTAAATGCAAATTGCGGTTATGAAATTCATGTCGATAGTGAAATTGTTCCTTAAGGTATATTGGAGATTTGGGATCAAACAGTACACAAAAAAAAAATAAAGAAATTATATGAACATTCCGGCGAAGGCGAATAGGGAGCCACTTGAGTTGATTTCGAAATTGGAATATATGATTATATTTGCGTCAACCAAATATGAATCGAATGGATATATTCTGAAGACGCTCAAGCTTGTTTAATTGCTCCATGGTAATATCAGTGTAGCATATTATATCAGTATAGTCTAAAATAGGTAAAAAAATTTGGTACAAATGGGCAGGAAATTTCGGAGTTTCTTAAGACTTCCACAAGCTGCAAACATTTTCTTGCTTATCTGTTCAATTTGAGGTGCCCAAGACATTGTACTGTCAATTAGAACCCCTAGATTTTTTACAACCTTAATTTTTTTTATTTATTTAAGACAACCAACAAGACGTACATGAACACAATGTAAATACTACAAATTACAGGAAGGGTTATATCTAAGTGTCGTCTTAATTAAAGGATGCCACGGCATGCAATGTGAGCAACGAATATGTTTCTTAAAACTTACAACTACAAACTTAAAACTAGGTCTAAATGTTAGTTAACAGTAAAGGACTGCATAATTTTTCGCTTGAATTTTTAAAGCTTAGAAAAAATATCAACGTCACATGTCTTGCAGAGCTGGTTATATCGCCTCTGTAACCTGTTTATGGTGGCATGGTGACCCAAATTAGTTTTACTTCCTTCAACTGAAAAGGGGACGTATCGGCTGACACGTACTAGCTTAAAAATGTACCTTACATTGAAATTTATTGCACTTAGTAGATATGGACAGTTTACAGTTCCGTTGACGATTTAGCGACATGAAATCCAGCAAAAGCCTCCGCTGTTGCAGGCTACTTAATTTAAAATACGTCAGTCGGTCTTCGTATGAGGGTAGATGCTTTATTTTGTAAGTTTGGTACGAAAGATGCCACAAAAAATGCTTCTGGATACGCTCTATGCGTTTCACTTAAATGTCATAAAATGGAGACCAGACCTGGCTACAATATTCGAGGCTGGAACGGACTAAAGTTACTTCTATAAGTAATAACAGAATTAAAACTATTATTTACGGATTTTATCGCGTTTAATTACTTTAATTTATTTTTATTATTATCCCGACGTTTCGGGTGCTTTACAGCGCCCATGGTCACGGGGGGGGACTGAGATGTTTGACGTCCCAATGTCATAGTTAGTCCGGCTACCTTCAGTTTTTTAATATTAATTTTTGGTCCGATTTACGCAAAACGAGCTTATAGTATCATGAAGTCTTGCAGTGGTATGCTTGGGTTTGGGTTTAATTTTGTTAATTATAGGATCCCAAGCAGATGGTAGCACCCAACCATCTTCTCTATTGAAATTTGGATGATTTTTTAATTTCAATAGCCTCGCGTATCATCCTTGGTAGGAATCGGTGTTCTTTTGCGAGAATTTGTGGTTTATCAAATCTAATGTAATGGTGGGGACGATCTTGAACATGTTCGCAGACTGCAGACTACTATATTAATTTCAAACCATTATATATAATCTCTAAGGGGGTGCTAAGAATCTCCGTTGGAGGTTCGGTTGCCACCTACGACGACTCGATCTGGCAACATATAACGCACGCACCCTGAGGACTGACGAGAAGATACTGGAGTTGGAAGAAGAGGTAGACAAGTTGCGCTGGCATATTATTGGGTTATCCGAGGTTCGAAGAGAGGGGGAGGACACGGTAATCCTCGAGTCCGGCAACTTGTTCTATCACCGGGAGGGCGACCATCTGTTCCAAGGAGGTGTCGGATTTATCGTCCACAAGTCTCTCGTCAACAACGTTGTAAATATTGGGAGTGTGTCGACGAGGGTTGCGTACCTGATACTCAGAATCAGCAAACGGTATTCGCTGAAGGTCATACAGGATTACGCACCAACCTCGGCACATCCCGATGAGGAGGTGGAGGAAATGTATGAGGATATTTCTAGAGCCATGCATTCCTCCAAAACCCAGTACACGGTGTTGATGGGAAACTTCAACGCAAAACTAGGCACAAGAGAAAGCGGTGAGCTGAAGTTAGGGAAATTTGGAGTAGGGCAACGGAATCGTAGGGGCCAGCAGCTGGCCGACTTCATGGAGAAAGAGGGACTCTTTATGATGAACTCTTTCTTCCAGAAGCGTCCCCACAGGAAGTGGACCTGGTCGAGCCCCGACGGTTCGACAAAAAATGAGATTGATTTCATTATGACGACCAGACGCCAACTGTTCAGTGATGTCTCAGTGATCGCAAGGGTGAAAACTGGCAGCGATCACCGAATGGTTAGAGGCCTTTCAGCTCGAGTTACGTAACCGCTTTCAGTGCCTAGAAGATTGCAATGCAGTGGACGAACTGTCATGTGGTCGGAGCTAAGTTCTGCAAGACCGGCCGCAGAATAACACAAAAGCTCTCCGATCACACTCTTAATCTCATGGCTGTTAGACGGGAGATGAGTCTGCAATCGTCAACAGATTTGACAGCATACAGGCAACTGAACAGACAGATCTCCAAATGCATGCGGCGAGACTTTCGCAAATTTAATACTGCTCGTATTGAAGATGAGCAGAACCAGGGCTCCAAAGTCTTTGCTAGAGATCTGTCTGCCAGAAAGAGCCAACTGTCAGAGCTGAAGACTGAGTGTGGCAGCATCGTTTCCGGGACACCTGAGATTCTGAGTGAGATTGAGAGGTTCTATGGGCACATCATCGTTGGAGCCACAAGCAAGTGTGAGTAACGATCCAAGAGCGGGTCTTAACCGACACTATTCCGATGATATCCCGGACGTCAGTCTGAAAGAGAAAGAAACGAGAAAGAATGGCTCTCCAGCACCTTAAAAACGGCAAGTCCCCGGGCGAAGATGGAATTACAGCGGAGCTTCTGAAAGCGGGTGGAAAACCGGTACTTGAAGTCCTTCAGAGGCTCTTTAATTCCGTCCTCCATGGTGGCACTACTCCGGAGGCGTGGAGCAGAAGTGCGGTGGTCTTGTTCTTTAAGAAAGGTAACAACGCCCTCTTGAAGAACTACAGACCGATAACCGTTCCGAGCCGCGTCTACGTGCTGTTTTGGAGAGTCATTACGAATCGTCTCGCACGCAGACTCGACGACTTCCAGCCTCCCGAACAAGCCGGTTTCCGAAAAGGCTTTAGTACCATAGACCACATACATACCCTTCGGCAAATTATACAGAAGTCCGAAGAGTACAATCTGCCACTTTGCCTGGCGTATGTGGACTATGAAAAAGCCTTTGATTCCGTCGAAATTTGGGCGGTGCTACAGTCTCTTCAGCGGTGCCAAGTTGACTGTCGGTATATCGAAGTGCTGAAGTGTTTGTACAGTAGGGCTACGATGGCTATCCGAGTACAGAACCAGACTACGAAACCTATCCAACTACAGAGAGGTGTAAGACAGGGTGACGTTATTTCCCCGAAACGCTTCACCGCTACATTGGAAGACGTTTTCAAGCTACTGGACTGGAAGGGTAAGGTATTAACATCAATGGCGAGTACATCACTCACCTTCGATTTGCCAACGATATAGTCCTTATGGCAGAATCGCTGGAGAACTTAAGCACTATGCTCAATGACCTCAATAGTGCCTCCCAACGGATAGGTCTTAAGATGAACATGGACAAAACAAAGATCATGTTTAATGTCCATGTCACACCTATGCCGGTAGTTGTTGGGAGCACTAAGCTCGAAGTTGTTGACAAGTACGTTTACCTGGGACAAATAGTCCGGCTAGGTAAGTCCAACTTCGACCGAGAGGTCAATCGACGGATTCAACTCGGCTGGGCAGCGTTCGGGAAATTACGACACATCTTCTCGTCAGGTAATACCTCAAAACCTGAAAACTTTTAAAAGTTTGAAAAGTTGTACAACCAGTGCGTGTTGCCAGTGATGACATATGAAACTGAGACGTGGTCCTTCACTGCTGGCCGTATGAGGACGCTCAAAGTCGCTCAGCGAGCTATGGAGAGGGCTATGCTCGGAGTTTCTCTGCGTGATAAACTTAGAAATGATTATATCCGTAGTAGAACCAGAGTGACCGACATAGCCCAACGGATTAGTAAGCTGAAGTGGCAATGGGCCGGCCATATAGCTCGAAGAACCGACAACCGTTGGGGAAAAAAGGTTCTCGAGTGGCAGCCTCGTACCTGTAGACGAAGTGTAGGGCGACCCTCCACTAGATGGAGTGACGACCTGGTAAGACATGCAGGAAGTCGATGGATGCAGGTGGCTCAGGACCGTGCTTTGTGGCATACCTTGGGGGAGGCCTATGTTCAGTAGTGGACTTGTAAAGGGCTGTAATAATGATGATGATGATGATATATAATCTCGGGAACTTGTCTGCTGCTCCTATAGGAGCAACAATTCGCCTGCAGACAAGTTCCCGTTGAATCTACTTATTTGCGTCTTACTTATTTAAGAATTTATTAATTATTTACAAATACGTCCTACTTATTTAAGAATACATATATAAAAAAATTAGCTTCCATAGTGGGATGCTTAAAAGAACTCATAATAACACAATCGGGGGTTACAGTTTGGTGTTAAATACATAACTAAAAGATCAAAAATTTTCGAGTTGTAGTCTTGTTTAGTGATTTACCGGTAACCGGTAAGCAACAGTGAAACTTCAGTATATTTTGAAATATTCCAATAACATTTGCTTTTTATGTTTTAAAATTTTACAGCACCTCCATTTGTATTGTACAATCTTCTACTAAAAGATAAATGCTAAAGTGTTTGTATTTAAATAGTATTTGATATCTGATAAAATCTATAAAAATTTTCTTTTATTACCTTTTTAAAATATGAGATTTTGAACTGTCTAAAAGTGACCATAAACAATACCGGGTATATAGAAAAAAATAGACCGGTATCAGTAAAATTTTGTTACATCTGTAGTACTATTGTTTTTACTCATCAATTTTTCTTAATTTTTGATTCTAATATTCACAAAATATAAATAGTTTCGACTTACTGGTGACAGGGTATACCACTTTTAATTTACACACCCGGCTGTTTTTCCGATGTACATAATTATCGCACATATCGGCATTTTTAAAATAAATTGTACCCAGAAGTAACGCTTGACACAAAAATTGGGTAGCGACTGTGACGTCAAAAGAGATGTGTTGGCATTTTATAAGTGTGAATAGACATGTTAGTGGCTACAAGGGCACCGTTCACTTCCCCGTTCTATTGTATGCGTATTATAGTATTCAATGTTTGATACTTTATTATAAAGTGCGGTTTAAAGATTTTAGACGAAAAATATAATTTGATAAGAAGAATTGAAGTTTGTGTAGTTACTATAACTGCAGTTTTATTCCGCAAGCAACACCCCACCTGCTAGTAACTGACTAATGATGCGTATGAGAAATGCAGCTGACTCTAAACAAAAAAGACTATATTAAGTGCGTTGTAATTTCAATGCACTATTGAAGTAGAATGCCAAGTCTGTAATTAAATTGGCGTAATATCATGTCGATTTACTGCCGCGGTCGAAATCTGATCTTTGTCCTATTAACTCCTTTTTCAATTTAAAAAAAGGGAAGAAGTCCGGAGACGAGGTTATACGGCCTGACTATACGGTAGGCGATCCATTTCCACAAGCGCGAGTCTTTTACGGTTTGTTTTGCAATCGGCTGCAATAGCCATTTACTCATTCTTTAGTTGTGTGTTAAACTATGTTCGTTCGTCACTTTGTTAATTATAAAAAAAGTCACTAATAGTAGTGGTCAAGCGTATGTCACGCTTAGCCACTACTATGCTACCTAGCTTTATTGTATTTGCATAGATGAAAAAGTATTATTTTAACAGGTGTTGAAGGAAGTGAATCTTGCGAATGGGAGGATTCACGCGCAGAAGAAGAGGCAGCTGCAGTCAGTTCACAGGGTAGTGAGCCTTCATCACCGCACCAGGTGAGTTAATGTGTGTTCAAGTGAACTTGTAGTAAAGTAATTTAGAAGAGATAATACATCTTTTCCCATTATAAAAACATGTTATTTTTTTAAATTTTACTTTTTTTTCTAGAAGTAAGACTGTTAAACAAGTAAACACATCACACACACACACACACACACACACACACACACACACACACACACACACACACACACACACACATACACACACACGCACGCACGCACGCACGCGCGCTCACACACGCCACGCACACACACACACGCACGCCACACACACACACACACACACACACACACACACACACACACACACACACACACACACACACACACACACACACACACACACACACACACACACACACACACACACGCACGCACGCACGACCATACTGTACACTGCAACGGCATGTATGTATGTTTGCTTGTATGTATGTTTATATGAATATGTATAATGTAGTAAATTCTAGATTTTTATACCTTTCCTCAACTATTTATTAAGACACTTGTCCCACCGTCGACGAGAAAGCGATTAGCTATCGACTATTTTCTCTCTCAAGAAACGAATCATAGATATAGATCCAACCATCTGTCATTTTACTCTACAGTGTGTATATGAATGCACTCGCATATCAGCAGTCAGCGACAAAACTATCTGAACTTACACTCGCTTCTCGTTGCTCTTGCTTTGCTTCTTATTTAGTTTATAGCTCTACCACATCGCTTATTGTTCATGTGGTGGGACAAGTGCTTCAAACGGAGTATTTTTATTTCTTTATGTGATTATTTTCATTTGTATAACATGAGTTCGAATACCGTACTCATCATGTGTTTATATTGCATACAAATAATTTTGATTCAAATGATGGAGTGGCAGGCTCTTAAAGACAAATACAGTTTGAAGTGACCCCCCACTAAATGGAGTGACAATGTGATAGCCCAGGACCGCACTTTGTGGCAATTTATGTGGGAGGACCTATGTTCAGCTGTGGACTTGTAACAAGTTTTTCTGACCACTAGACCCTATGATTATTACATAATGTTAAATTGTGATATTGATTCAGACACATCTCGTTACATATTCCACAAAAGCTAAAAACAAGAGAATACAACCAGTGTGTGCTGCCAGTGATAACAAATAGATCTGTGACGTGTCCTGAGATTGTTGGGCGTGAGGAAGCTTATGGTTGCTTAGCGATATATGACCGGTTAGCGAAGTGCAGGGTGGATCCCACTATATATGTTGATGGATGCAGGTGGCTAGGGAGCCTGCTTTATGGCAATCTTTTTCTATAGAATAAGGGTGACAAATGTAAACACAGACTATCTGATGTTGTGGATGCTGTGGCTCATAGATTATTTCATTTTTTCTCGATTAAGAATCAAAGTGTAGACGCATCTACGACACATACGATGGATGACTAAGATGTATTTTGGTTTCATATTAGTCCTCTACTGTAGACTTGCACCATTATGCTACGTTAGTATTCTTGTCACTAACGATACGAACCACTCATCATTACAATTCTATTTTATAGCGGTAGGTACTCTGTGTAAGCATGCTTCTTTTCAAATCGATGGGAACCATTTCTGCTGCAGTCATAACACGCTACAGGACGGTTCTTTTTTCATGGGAGTATGCCTACGTGTATTCGCCTTGTGGAAGTAAGGACGGGCTATGTCGGGCACATTAATTAAACTCTTTGGACTAGGCTGTTCTATCTTTGTCGTATATCGGCTGGTCTAAAACAACGCTTTTATCATACACATTCTGTATCTAGGAAAAGATTACTCCCCTTATTTTTCCTCGGACAATATGCTTCAGAACACAATGCATGCTTTGTGCACGAGCGGTGATTGGTCAACTACAGGGAGAGTGGAGTCCCGTTCACTAGATTAAGACCCGCTATAACAACATAGAAACTTGTACGGGTAGGAGACAGGGGCTACTACTACTATTACTGCTACTGCTACTGCTAGCATTGGAATATGTTGGTCTCACGTTGTCGCGTGTGTAGAATAACATGTTTTAATTCCTCCCTCTCCTTTCCATCATCGGACAACCAGACGGTCGGCGGGTCTTCACTCCATAGTTGTAGATATTTTATTAGAATCAATCGGTTTGCTTCATGTTTTGCAATGCGTGCAGCAAAGGAGTAGAATAATTTGTCGGTGTCTGTCTTTTCGTCTGAATACAATCTCAGGTTTTCAAGACTAAGTGAAATATGCTTTTGTTACGCTAACACAATGCGATTTACCATTTAGGTCTTCATCACCACTTATCACAAAGTGGGATTGAGGCGAAGTACATAGTAGAATTGAAACCTTCAGAAAATTCAGAAGAGTAAAATTACTTTGTTAAGTAGCGCCATTTACTTTATTCTATAGGTGAAGCCATTTTATGGTACAAAAATTGATTTATTCTCAAGGTGGTACGTAAAATATACGGTATATGGCTGAAACACGATTAATTTAACAATAAAATCGTGGATTATTATGAATGGATTGACATGAATCATCGTGGAATGATAATTTTATTCATTATTGTTAGTTTTATTTATTTAATAAATTTATTAATTTTTAACTACTAATTTTAACAGTTATAAGTTATATTAATCATCTTTAAAGTACCGCACAAAGAGAAGACCGAGTTAATAGGAGATTCAGTGTACTGTATTCTATCTCATCTCGCAGGCTGAATCCTATAGATGTATATGTTTGTATCTTTTTAGTGTCGTTTTTCCGTTTTACGGAGTTTCAAATAACAAGGATTCTAAAAAAAATTACTTGAATAAAAGCAGGGTGCGCAGATGGCAGAGGAGGGGCGCGAAGCGGAAGCGAGCGCGCCCGCCAGCGCGCCGCGCCGCGCCGCCGCGCACGCGCCCGCGCCCTTGCCCGCGCCGCACCAGCGCTGGATGCGCGCCGCCGGTACGCACGCACATAGTCACCCTCACACCACATACACCTATACCTATGCCCAATTTGTAGGGATGGCCAAGGGAACTAAATATATCGATATTTATCGTATCGATACTTAACTGTATCGATGTTCATCACGCGATAATTATCGACATATTGTCATGTTTTGCATGATATAGTAGGATAAGGGCTAAAATTTTATTACTGGACGTTTTGACGACAAAAAAACCATTGTATTTTTTTTGTTTATTAAATTATAAAATAAATATTAACATTTTAAAATATGTCGAAATTAAAAGAATTCAATAATTTAAAATATATATTGAATATAAAAACATATTACGATTAAAAATACGACGTTGAATATCGATGATTTAGTAAGAAAATATCGATATTTCAATATAGCGATATTATTTACCCAAGCCTACCAAATACTCAAATACTACTCAATTTTAAAATGTTGTTAACTCTCGTCGTGTCACAGTCAGTTTGAATCAAAGCAATAGAGACAGTACGATACTTAAGAGGAGTATTACAAAAAACGCGAGATTACAAGGTTTCCTCATTGAAATTATGTTTTCCGTTCGTTGCTTGAAATAACAATTACTCGGTAACATGGGAACGTCAATTAGTTTTAATTTTACGTTACAAACTTTAGTGTAGATTTTAATTTATTGCTCATCACGTTCCCCCAGATTACTTTGTTTAAAGTGGCCTGCCGCAGCCGCGTCGACTGTGTCAAAGTTTTAATATTGCACTGAATTTTTAGTGGAAAATGTTCTGACGATAATATATTTCGTTTTCTCTACTACAATAAGCTTAAGGCAAATTTTAGATAACTTATTTTTTTTTTTTTGTAATAATCATTGTCCCGATGCATGTTTAGGCCAAAACTCTGTGAGACATGATTTGGGAGCTCTAGTTTGTAGATTCTATTGAATATCGACCATCAAAAAATATGTTTATCTCACTAATATCATATACTTTAATAATGATAAAATACATTTTTTGTTATATGCCTTTTACGTAAGGAAAAAAATCGACATAATTCAATTAACGACCGAAAAAGCCTTGATACAAGCCCTAATATCTCTGAAGTTCTACATCATTTTGACGTAAAATTTATATCAAAATAGGGGAAGTCCGGGCAAAGTGAATAGTCCCCACTATTACCAAACTATTCGTTTGGCATTAACCACGCGGCCATAGCATCGTTCCGCCATCTTGTCTCAGTGAGCGGCAAATACTTAAGCGAGAGGTAGTGTCGTGTGGTGTCCACAGAACGGCGAATTGTTTTCGAAAAATAATTTACAATATTTCGAGGTAAGTGTTTTGATGATATTTCCTATATTATTTGTTTATCATTCTTGGGCGTAGTATAGTTCTATTACGTATCAAAGTGCCTTTTTAAAATATGTCGAACAGGGAAATCAATAGTTTTTATATTAACTAACTTAACCTTAAAAGTGGTCGGGTTGGGCAAAGCGGATATGATATCCACTTTGCCCAACTGTTACGATTTTTAGTTTCAGTATTATAAAGCTCGTCTTTCGTTGCAGATGGTGCATAAATTAAAATATAAAAAAGAAAAAATAATCAAGGCTCTTGAGATAAAGATGTGATGCAGATGGCTGTAAATTTATGCCATGCCGGAGAATCGGTGAAGGGCACAGCTAAAAAGTATGGGTTGGCTTATGCAACTTTGTACAGACACATCAAAAGTGGTAAGGTTACTCCCAAACTCGGCAGATTTCGTCCTGTGTTCAGTGAATATGAGGAGATAGAATTAATGACCTATCTCAAAGACATGGATTCCGTGTTTTTTTGGTTTAACTCGAGATGAGTTTAAGAATTTAGCGTATACCTATGCCAAAAAAAAATAATTTGAGTTACCCAAAAAGTTGGGACAAGTATGAAAAAGCCGGAGATGATTGGCTACAATCATTTTTATCACGTCACACTGACATTATGCTCAGGACTACAGAGGCAACATTGGTTGCGAGAGCAAAAGGATTCAATAGACATGAAGTCAGACGTTTCTATGAAAATCTTGAACCTTTGATTGATAAACACAATATTGATGCATCTAGATTTTATAATATGGACGAAACCGGTATTTCGACGACATCAAGGAAACCCCCTAGAGTACTATCAATAAAAGGAAAGAAACAGGTGGGCATAATTGCAAGTGCGGAGCGAGGTCAATTAACGACTGTCATCGGGTGTTGTAATGCCGCTGGATCATTTCTACCACCCTTCCTGATTTTCGCCAGAAATAAGATGCAACCCAGACTTCTTTACGGTGCGCCTCCCGGGATTCAAGGTACTTGTACGCCAAGTGGTTGGACTTTAGGTGAGGTATTTCTTAATTGGATGCATTTCTTCGTAGAACATGTACGACCTAGCGCCGACAAAAAGGTACTTCTACTCTTGGACAACCATGAGAGCCACAAATATTATCCTGCTTTGGAATATGCAAGTAAGAATAGCGTCATAATTTTATCCTTGGCCCCGCATACTACTCATAAAATGCAACCTATGTGGCCCTGATGTGGCCATCTACGGCCCACTGAAAACGTATTTTGAACGAGAGATTAATACGTTCCAAAAGGCTCGTCCTGGACGCATTGTAAATCAGTACGATGTAGCCAGACTGTTATCACCAGCTTTTCTGAAAAGTACAGTCGCCATAAATGTAGTTCATGGGTTTGAACGACCTGGAATTTGGCCAGTGCACAAATATGCTTTTAGGGATGAAGACTTTGAACCAGCGGATGTGATTGCAGGCAAATCAAGTATGAATGTCAGCACAGTAGGCATAGATTCGATACAAACAATAGACATCCCTGATTCCGCTGCCTCTTCAACCCCTTCACCCTCACTTTTACAAGAATGCAATTCGACAGTTGATCCCCATGCAGAAATAGTTCTACCTCCAGGAAAAGCTACAATTTGTGAATTATCTAAACCTCAACCTCAAGTCTCTGTTGCACCAATTGTAGTTTCCCAAGAATCTACTAAAAACACAGAAAATATTATTCACAGTGAAGTATGCTCCATTATTACACTGGAACCAGAAACAGTGTCTCTTAAAACTTCTTCTACTTTGGAGCCAGATGCTACAAATATTAATGTTATGCATCCTTTAAAAAGTGATGCATTGTTACCAGGTACCTCAAAAAATACACGCAAATATGTGGACCCACCGTGATGACCCACCGAATCCGGAACCTGGATGTTCAAACTTTCACTACAGTCCCGTAGTGTTAAGACCAATACCAAATCCAGACAAACCAATAACAACTCGTAAACGCAAATTGCAAAAGTCGGAAATTTTAACTAGTACACCTATAAAAGAAGAGCAGAAGTTAAAATTTGAAAAAAAAATGCAGTTAATAATATAAGTAAAAACTAAATGTAGAGTCATAAAAAGTTCCCATAAAGATTACTAAAAAACCTTTTTTTTTAGTAAGAAATTTGAAGATATTGTATGTTTTTTTTTTGCGGTGAAATATATATTGAAGAAAATAATCATCCAATTGAAAATTGGATTCGATGTGGTGCCTGTTTCAGATGGTGTCACGAAGAATGTTCCGCTTTTGAAGGCATTGGAGATTTTACATGTGATAATTGCCAGTCTAATTTTTAAGATTTGTCCTTTAAACGCGAATTTAAGTTTTGTCCGTCTTTTAAATTCCCTAACTAGGTGTAACTTTGAGTTTTGTGTAATTAGAAGGTAGTTATTAACTTTGCCCGAGCACCATATCCACTTTACCCGGGGGTACGGGCAAAGTGAATACTATCTCAATTTTTTGAGTTTAACTTTTTGTTAGTAGTTGTTTTACTTTTAAAGTTAAATGATTACTATATATGTAAAAGCAATTAATAAAGACTGATTTGAGATATTTGTTTTGTTTCCATCTCTTATAAATTTTCTGATAAATCCTTAAATATCTTAAGGTATTCGCTTTGCCCGGACTTCCCCTAATCATCACATTTGCTTACACTAAACTATTATTTTTACTTTTTAAATCGTTACTGTTATTTTTTAATTAATTAAATAAAACTACCATATATTTCCCTGCACCGGCCATCTAAAATTCATTCATTACCGCACGGTCGTCAAGGTTGGACCTGTGCCACTTGATTTCACGCACTCAGTCTCGTTTCGATATTATCGTAGTGTGCTTCGATTGCCTTGGCGCTGCTATTTTATGCCTAGAGCATCGTCAACTATGCCCGCAGTTTTTAACCGTTTTCAAGTATTTACTTTCGCACAGTATATTTCAAGTTTCATTGTTTTGCCTAAAACTCGAACAAAGTACAGCCAGACCACAATTACATGCGAAGGTGCGCGCCTTTTTAATAAGATAACCTCGGAAATAAAAATGTAGACTCGTTCAATGTATTCAAAAAGCGACTAGCAAATCATATAATCACAAACATATCTATCTGAGTGCGTTGGACTGGTTTGTTCCTGGTCTTAGTATTATGGTGCTAAGGTGATAGTGAATACTAGAATTTAACTTTTCTTTTATTTGTATAGATTTTTCCCGTCGATAGCTGTTGTTTATTCAACAACATAGGTACGACAATAAATTTTGTTATTTACATTTACTTTTATTTATGTTCTCATGTAAGTGGCGTGTAAAACGTCTTTATGAGAATAAACGTCTACATACACATAATTAGTACAAAGTTCACACATTATTATTTTACCAGATAGCTAACTCGTTATAGTTATTATGATTGTAGCTGAGCTTTGTTACCAGTTGGAATGGGGAAAAATAAATACAAGTATCAATGTGTCACTATACGTAAATAAAGAAATATCCTATCTTTGGAGAAAAAATAATGGAGAATAAAAATGTCTGCACGCTTGCCGTATGGACTGGCCCAAATTATGCAGTAAAAATACCAAAAATCTACAAAGAACAAATTTTGGATTTTGAATATGTTAGTCAAGTTACAAGCGTACCGTCTGAAATTATTGACTCGAGATAAGCTCGGTCAATGCTATTGCGGCAAATATTTTTGTAATAAAAATATAGTATATGTGACTGTAAGTACCGATAAAAAATAGTTAGTTGGTTATTTTATTTATTAAAACAGGTTGCAATCGTACTATTTATTTATTTATACCGCTATTCTACCGTTAGTAGATATAATCGATTATGAACCAACATCGGTTAACAATAAATTACTGTGAAACAGTTAAAATATTTATGTGTTCAACACTAAAGTTCATAAATAATGAAAAATATATCAAATAGATTAATTAGATAACATTAAAATGACACACCAAAAATTTCCATCCATTGAACTCCATCCTAAGAAAACTTGTATAATGGAAGATCCAAGATCGTTTAGTCGCTGTACCCACAGTATCATAGTGCGAGCGAATAAAAAGAGATATAAAATAAAGTATCGCTTGCGTAGGTCATCGCCCGCTCGGAGCGTGAAACACTTAAATTTTTGTAACGCCGAAATGTAAGAGGGCTCTTAACGGCACCTTAAATTAAGTAGTGTTTGAGTATTTGGGCAGTAACGCAAGAAGGAACCAATCTTAATTTGTGTCAAACATGTTCAGTTGAAAAATAATGTTTGTGATCTATAATTCAGAATGTCCCACAAGTTGACGTTAAGCCGTAATCAGGTGATAATAGTTAACAGTAAAATAAAGAACAATCTTTGCTATGGATTTTCAAAATTACAAGTATTTACAAAAAAAAATCGAAAAAGTCTACAGCCTGTGACGGTCTTTTAACTCCTGTTGCTACAAATCTTAACTTTATTAAATTTTATTTTATTATATAATCCTGATTAATGCTTCTGAAAACTGTTGTTTAAAATTACAAACAACTGCTCTAGGCCAGAAGGAAATGTATTTTTTTCCTAACCAAGAATTCAAAATTAATACATGATAAAAATTAAAATGACGTACGTAATGAACGTAGATTATAAATAAATATCCATAGACTAACTGACTTTTTATTGCACTAGAGGATAGAAAATTTCATATTGATCCTATAATGCCAAACTTCTTCATAGAATAGTAGTCTCTAAACATAACTATTTATGGGTTAAAGTGCTGTGGGTGGGTGTAGTCGGATCCGACCTTTTGGGTTTTGAGAGGTTAAGTAACAGGCTTGAGGAAAGCTTTGGGGTACACAAAAATCATTTTAGCTGAGTAAGGAAAATTAATCTACAACTGGGTTGATTTACAAAAATTAAAAAAAATTTCCATAATTTAACAAATAATCCTGCAAGTGCTATACCATTTTGGAATCCTTATTAAATGCACTAACTTTTAAAGGTACTTGTCAAACTCGTGTAGTACATTTTTTTCTTTCATAAAAGTCATAAAACTGGGCAAAGTATTAATTTTGAATATTTTGTTGGGATAAAGTTAAAGTTAAAATTAAGATTTTTTTGTTAAATATTTTTTTGTTAACTATTATGACCTGACCTATCACCCGATTCCGGGTTGACGTCAAATTCTAGGACCAACCTGTATTATGTGATGCAATAATTCTAGCGAAAGTAACAAAATAAGAAGAATAACAAGCAGCAGGAATCAAACCGATCCATACTAATATCATCATCACAAATTAAACTTTTCGCGGGTTGGATCCTTTTTTTATTTTTTTTTTTAAATTTCCTTTATTTCCAAAAGTCATGTTACAAAGATTTGAGTGTTTCCTTTAAGTAGTGTTGGATACTTCTTGCATCACGAAGTACTAACTAACGTCCAAATACATAATCCCGCGCACACTAAACTTATCTCTACATACATTCCAATTATAATTTCAAAATCGAAATAGTTTTATTCAAAATTGGCTTTTACTGAGCACTTTTTTAAGTCCAACGCTAAGCCATCGCTTCAACAACTAACAAGTATATAAGAAACAATAGAGGAAACTTACAAGTAGACTATTTTTCTCCCAACTGTAACATTAATAATATACTTATAAAATATATTTCGAGGGTTGATCCAAAAGTAATGATAATGAATATTAAACGGAAATTATAGTCAAAAAATAGTTTTTTTTTTCTACATAATCTCAATGTATCAAATGCATTCACTCCATCTTTTTCTAAATCCAGAATTCCCTTGAAAAAAAATCTTTATCTTGTCCCTCCAATACGCCTCATCAGCGTCCATCACTTCACTATCGTCTGTAAAATGTTTTTGCCTCGAAGGTGTTCCTTAGCCGAGGAAACAGGTAGAAGTCACTGGGAGCTAGATCTGGCGATAGGTGTGTTCAAGCAGCTCAAAGCCCGTTTCCATCCATCCGTGGCAACCATCGCAACTTTTTGAACAACACAACGGTGAACTTTGTGAACCGGAGTGTTGTCTTGGTAAAGATCCCGCAATCTACTTATTTGGCCTGGGTAGTAAAAGCCCGAGATAGTGGCTCCCTTTTTCTTATTTCATTATTTCTTCAGCGTCCCAAAAAAACTTTACCGCTGAACTTAACACTTTGAATTTCTTCGGCGTCGGTAGGGAGGCTTGTTTCCAAATCACTGATTATTGTTTGGTTTCAGGATCAAAATGGTAGACCCAGGTCTCGTACATGATTACGAAACGTGACAAAAAAATTCTTGAACTGCTTGGAACCTTTAACAATTCATCCTCGAAATGTAGTTTACACGTTTTTTCTTTTGCTCGTCGGTTAACATTCAGCATACTTGTTAACACTTAGATGATTTGTAATCAGACGAATGTACCTCCCGGGAATCGTAGCCTATTTATATGATTTTGTATGCTGATCTAGTGGGTTCATGAGCGAGCAAAAAAAATTTTTTTTGGATTTTTATGTGCACTGGAAATAACCGATTAGCATTACTTTTGGATCACCCCTCGTACAAGAGTAAAAATAAGTTTTAGGAAGCTCATTATGTTACAGAATACGGGTAACAAACGTTCACAAAAGTCACCTGATGATAAGTGATTGATGCCGTTCACAGGCATATCTATCCTTGAGATTATGATTTACATTAAGAATCAAAATGCAAATGCGGTATCATCTCCATGGAATAAGATAAAATGCCCCGTTTCCAGTAAAAAGTCTCCTCCGGCTCTCTAGACTTACCGTACAAAACATAGCGGCATTAAAGTACAATATTACGTTTTGCCAGCAACGCAAATTTCAACAGTTCGTTGCGGTGAAAATTTTTAGAGCACCTAATTTTTAAACTTGGTACATAATTAGCACCTAACGATCCCCTAATTTAGACTTTTTTAAATGCAAATTTCTGACTTTGCGTTGCCGGTGATGCACAACTGCCAACAGTTGCTTAAACAAAAAAGTTGCATAGCGAGATAAAGATAAATTTGCATCGCTTCATATTACGTCCACCCAACATTATCGGGTTAATTAACTAGGTACATGTGCGCCGATTCTCGCCCCGCCTACCTCCGCACCGTGCGGGCCATTCGTCAATTAAGCGGTTTATCTATAGTCTCCTCTGTGACTGGCGTCGTGTGATCGAACTCGAGAATATTAATTTTATAAAATCTCATAATTAAGTTACAGAGTGTAGATAATTTGAAAATGCAACTACAAATATGTAATGTAAAACTTTGATATTACAGACAGTGAAAGCGGACCTCGTGGGCGAGGTATGAGGCCACGAGGTCGACCCTCAAGAAGATCTCACTATATGAGGTTCTAATCAAGTTCTACTCGTTAGATAACTACCAGCTTATCTTTCTTTTTGGTATGTAACTAAACTGAAAACACTGTGAACTTAAGTAAACCATGTGATGACATTTTTGTTTCTCAAGTTTTTACATAATGCTATTTGTCAGAATTTTGTATACTATTTGTTGTAATTGGACATGATGTGGTATTGGAATAGTTCAGTGATTTGTGTGAATGTAGTTATTGTAATTAGTTTATTAGCAGCAGTTAATGTTTATGGATGTCGCAGTAAATAGTGTTAATGTAGTATTTCTGCAAACATTAAATATAAGTTACGTACAGTTTAAAATCTTGATATAAATCGTCTAATTAATATGAATAAAATATAAATAAATCGTCTAATTAATATGATTAAAATATAACATTTATTGTAAGAGTTACGACGATAGTGCATGTTCCATACATTTATATTTAAGATACACTTTGTTAATTCATAGATATTCATGTCGTGTTTGATCGCTTTACGTTAATTTGTCGGCATTTATTAATTTTTTGTGGTATAATGCCTGAGATAAACATTTCCATTTAAAATAATAGATATAATTAATATTAGATTTGCCAATAAATGTATTCCAGTAAGATTTATTTTTAATGATTACTATCATTCTATCCCTTCTTATCACTAGACTCTTTTAAATAAAGATAATAAAACATTAGTAAACTCGTTTAAATTTTGCTGTGATGTAAACCGACTGTGTGACTAGACTTTACATTATGATGTTTGGTAAACACATAATGTTTAAAGTTTTAAGATTCAACGAATATTATGAGGTTTTCATTAAACTAATAAATAGTGTGAGAGCGAATGCTCAATTTACTCTCTTGCAGTAAAGGGTGGATTCAACCAAAAATCACATGTTAATGACTAGCCCTCGAATAATTTTATTCCTTAGTCTTACTCTCAGATAACTTCATTTGCGTTTTTTCGTTACAACCATACAGTAGCAAATATTGGGTATGTTTACTCCAGAGTTGGTGAAAGAATGATGGAAGAACATCTAAGCCAATTAAAATTGAAATCCGTTATAAAGCACAACCTCAGAGTAATTACTAGCATAAAGAGAGTCTTAAAAAAGGAACAAAATTTTTATAGCTAATGTCTTTATACATATGACATTTAACATAATACAAAATAAGATAGCTATATTATTCTCACCTTCTTTCTTTTAAAAGGTGGTTGCCGTTTTTCTATTCCATAGACACCTCTATTAAGGTGCCATTAGCGAAATAAAAAACGTCGATAAATCCATTTAGTCTATGACTAAGTAAAATTACGGATTTTATTAATCTGCTTCGTAACACTTATTTATATTAACGAAAGTTTATGGAAAGTTCATCTGACATCTAACAACAAAACGTAGTTAAATAATGCAGAATTTCGTACTATCTTTGTATAATTAAAAATATATCGTGAAAAGTTCACTATGAAACCTACTTCAATTCAGTCAGTATATTTCTGCTAAATTATTCTTACACTTAGTATGGGTTTCACAAGGAATAATAACTCTGTTTGTTTAATCGACACTTAGTTTGTGTCACGGGGCGTACACAGGGGGCACTGCTACGAAAGTTTGTTTATAGAATAAGGGTGCCAAACGAGCTCACAGTCCACCTGAGGTTAGTGGATGCTGTTGTCATAGACATTACATTTATCCTAGATTAAAAATAAAATGCAGATGCGTCATCAAGGACTAAGATGGAATGCCTCGTTTCCAGTAAACAGTTTCACTGGTTCTCTACACTCAACACAACATCCTTAAGCTGCTATTTATGCTGGTATTATGTAATAACGTGGTCCTTCCCCGGTCGAGCCCACCATTTCGTGCTACAACCATAATGTAGCAGCAGCGTGGCTCTACCACCTATATCAACTATACTCTTCACAGCTGTATTAGAAGACATTTTTTGAAAAGCTGACTAAAGTAGTGGAAAAACGACATAGAAATCTTTTACTATGGCAAATAATATTATTCCCAAAGAATAATTGCACCGAATTTCCATCATTTGGACCATCCTGTTGACAAACGTATTCATCTGATTTTATTAGATGTCGTCGTTTATATATTTTAAAACTATGTGTGATATTTGTAAAATATTTTAGGCTTGGAAAAAGGACAATAAAATAGACTTATTTTTATATAGAATAAGGGTGACGCCATTTTTCTTTAAATTTGAGCAAAATACCTGCCGTGCCAGCACTCAGGTGTGCGTGCTTTATGTTGCTAATCTAACAGTCGCTCTGTAATCGATTCCTCAAGACCAATAAAACTATTCGAAGTTTTTAATCAGTCTTGACAGGCGACACAAGACACTGATCATTGCGATCGATGCAGTACCCTCTCTACCGATGAAGTTGCTGTAATTGTGGTAGACTAAGATTGCGACAGGCGAGATATTGTGCTGCGCACTGATGACGTTCGCCTCCGAATAAGTGAAACGCGTCCTCCGATGCTCCTCCATCTCCTATTATTTATTGCTGTGGTGAGGATGATTACAACTTAAGGCTTTACCAGGTTGATCTTGCAACAGGAGCACCTACTATTACCATAGAATATTATAATACATACATAATACAACGGGTTGAGTGGGCAGAGCCCGCGTAGCCACTAAAATGTCACTGACACGTCAATTCACACGTATAAATGTCAACACGAGATGTGTTTTGACGTTACAATCGTTTCCAAATTTCGCATGCAAATTATTTAGAAAATGCCAAATTGCACCCTATTTACAAATAAATATGTATTAAAATTTAAACGATTTTTTTTATGATGATCTGGAACATTAATCAAAAGTCTAAAATGTGTAAATTTATATTTTTTTTTTTTTTTTATAGAAAAGGGGGCAAACGAGCATGTGGCTCACCTGATGTTAAGTGACTACCGCCGCCCATGATCAACTGCAACACCAGGGGAATTGCAGATGCGTTGCCGGCCCTTTAGAAAGGAGTAAGCTCTTTTCTTGAAGGTCCCCAGGTCGTATCGGTCCGGAAAAATCGCTGGTGGTAAATTATTCCACAGAGAGGTTGTACGCGGAAGAAAACTCCTTTTGAAACGTACAGTGGTGGACCGCCAAGCATCCAGATGGTGTGGATGGTATCGGGACGTTTGCCGCGTAGTGCGTTCACGAAATTTGGCGGCTGGGATTAATCCGAACAATTCCTCAGAGCACTCTCCATGGTATATGCGAAAGAAAATGCAAAGGGATGCAACATCTCTTCGCAGTGCCAGAGAATCGAGCCGATCGGAAAGCACTCGGTCGTCGACGATTCGAGCCGCTCTGCGCTGGATGTGGTCAAGTGGAAGGAGCTGGTACTGGGGAGCCCCAGCCCAGAGATGGGAACAGTATTCCATGTGCGGCCGAACCTGCGCCTTGTAAAGTTGCAGGCGGTGTGCCGGCATGAAATACTGTCCCGCTCTGCTGAGCACGCCAAGTATAGTCTGTCAACACAGCAAATCGGGTTTGGCGACGCCAAGTCTCGTACAAAATAAAGTTGACAGCCATTATATTGTGTATTATAGTATTTCACAACCTATCAAAAGTCCAGTGCTGAGCATATACCTCTCTCCCAGATTACCTTATTTTAGGCCCCATAATTGTCTCGTCTGGAAAGCGTGGCGGGGCACTACCATCTGCTTGGCTTAATCTTAGCTCAAGCTTACTACTGCAAGCCTTCAAAATACTGTAAGCTCATTCTGCACAGTTCGGAGAAACGAAACAAAACGAAGACTACCTGTCTTCGTTTCCTTTCGTAAGGAGATATAGGCGCCCGAGTTTATTTTTAACGTTTTAGTTTTGTATTGGTCCAAGATGGGACAACAAGACCTACGCATAGCTGAGCACAAGAGTTATTTGAAGGAAGGACTAGCGTTTTACGATCGACACGACATCTTAAGCAGAATTAAATTTTAAGCTCAGACTCATGATTGACCTATCACAGCAGAGTTTATTTGTCGAATCGTTTGTTTTACGCACACATATTTCTATACATAATTCGCTCCAACGATATATTTTAAATAATTTATAGTGCATGGTTTTCATTAGGGTCTCTTAATTATGCACGAATAATATCAACACGTATGGCGCACGGACCCTGTGGTGCTATGAATACCAACTCTAAGTAGGCCGATGCACTAAAAGATATTCGGGCGTATGTGCTTGAAATAATTACAGGCAAGGATGGGTAGCAGTCATGTCGCTGACGTTTACAGTCAATCTGTGGATTTACCTCTAGTGGTCATAAATCGAAATTGACAATAGAAATACTGTCCTATTCACCTAATTAATAGAATCAGGCGTTACTTTGCGGCGCCTGCGGAAATCCATGATATTAAAAATGTTAAAAATAATTGCCTAAGATATGCGTAATAAAATAAAATGACGTGCCTTACCTAGTTTGAAGAGCACCTCCCGCCCTCCCTCAATAGCGTGCACTATCATTGTCACCACGAATACCAGCACCACTATCACACAAAAAAGACAGCACCGTTGAAATACGATCCGTGTTTTGCCTCTAAATGAGGCAACCTCAGGTAAAATAGATAGACTCAGCCGTGGTTGCCCGCTAATTAAGTCATTGCAGTGACCTTAAAACAGAGATTAATGAATGATCTAGTGTCTTACAAATAGAGAACTCTGGATTGTAATGGGAAGATGCACAACCTGAATTTCTGAAGCTAACCAAGTTTTAACAATGTTATCCTTCCGATCCTCACGTAAAGGATATCCGCATTCGTCACAAACATGTTTGTCTATTTAAGTATATTAAACTTATCTTTATTTTTACAGAAAGTCCTAAATGTGTTGTTTATTTTGAACGCTACATAAAATAATAATAATAATAATCTTTATTGCATCTTTAAGATTAAGTACACTCGATAACAACAGTGTAACCAAATTAAGCTTACAGTTAAGTACTTCTACAATTAATATGAAGCTACTGACATCTAAAATAGGCAGAGCCTGTATCTT